AAAATTAATAGAAATTTGACTTTTTGCCTAATTAAGTGACAATCCTACGTTTATAAAGAGGCCCTCACACCATAGTGATTACTAGTTGCGTTTGGCTGCGAAAAAGAAGAGCGATCATTAGTTTCGAACGCAACTCTCATGCAACTGAGTTTGAAGTTGCGTTCGAAACTAATGACCACTTTCAGTATTTACAAGCATACGTAGCTGGTAATAGTCATGGTGTGAGGCACACATAATTTGCCGAATTGTTACAGTTATTATTATATACCGTTTACAGACTATATTTCTTTTTAGATTATTTACGATAAAAAAGATAAATGAAATGTTGACTTTTTGCCCAATTTTAATATTTGTGAATCATATTACTATCGATTGATCAAATTCAACATTTATACCTGTCTTTCCTCGTTTTAATCGTCATTATTTCTCATCAAACGATTCAATCATCAGACATCAATCCTTCTAGTTTTATGAATAATTTCAAGCCAAATGGAATGTATTTATTCAACTTAAATGATTTTTCTAAGAAATTTCTCTAAAGAAATCTATACGATGGGTAAGTTATCTAATTTTTACAGGTCGTTGTGGACTTTCCTAATACGATCTAATTAAATTTCTGTTCTTTCTTTTTATTATATTATTCCTCTCTATTGTAATCTAACACGTTTCCTACATCAGTCTTATTCTTATGGCGGAATTGAGAATTGAGGTTGACCCGGCTTCATTATGTATTGGGACAATTCTGTGGTCCTAACCCGGTCCGCCAGCGTTCTCTGTTCGTACCACCATCTAAAGTCTTTATATATTCAGATATGTGGGATTGTGTAGGTTTCCGTAGTACTCAAAATCTTGATATTGATCTTGATAAGGGATTGCAAAGTTTTCTAAATTTCTTATGTGCACCGGGGACACTGATAGCATCAATTTACACCATTCCAATTTTCAATCAGACGCATTTCAAGTGATGCTATCAGTGTCCTCAATACACATACAAAATTTAAGAAAACCTCTTTACAATCCCTTTAATATATATACCACATGTATTACCTATATATATCATAAGAAGAACTATTTTGTAGGTTGGACATGGACAATAATTGAACTCCTTGTTCTGTTTATTATTTGATTATAAAAGTAAAATAAGATTAAAACTTGTAGAAAATCAATTCACTGGTATGATTAGTTATAAAATATGATTGTGTTTAGTTTAACACCGAATAGACGAGAAGAATGAAAATATAGTGAACAATATAACTGTTAATATACACCACATATGTTACAAATTACTCTCTGATTTTATACTTTAATATACAGGGCGCAGGCGTAATATTGACGGGGGTGGGGTGTGTGTTGCGGTCTGGGGGATTAATATAAAACGAAAGGATAGTGTTGTCTGGTTCTTGGACAAACTTCTTGTCATTAATCTTTACCGGATTGCACATTTACAGCCTAATTCAATGGCATACTGAGGTGCAAAGACAAGGTTTAAATTTTATATTCTCGAGGATTATAACGCCGCAGTAAATAGTTAGGAATATTTTTGACTATTTCGTTAATCTTAACCAAATCTGAATTTCAGCTACTAGTCACTCTTTTCAGTGTTAAAATCTGGCGTCTGGTTCCCCAGCAATTTAATTAGTCGCCACATTTCAGTGATGCTTTCAGCTCAATATGAGCTCTATCAGTTCAGAAAATATGGCGGAGCTCAATTTAAACGAGCTCTGAAGCTTATCCCTTATTATATATTTAGCTTGAATATTATCATCCACGAGGTTCAATGAAAAAAACCGTTTTAAAAAAAATGCACCGGTCTTCCTTTCATAACTTCAAATTCATGGGACATAGGAAATATTGGAAAAATGATAATTTATGACAGGTCGGGACGGGTGATTTGAAGAAGATGGATGAGAGTAAAAGTGTCATGTATCGTCTGTCAATAGCTAATCATAAATAATATAATAAAACAATAGGTGTTGAGAGTGACAATAGTCTTACTTCCTATTTATTGACTGAGTTACCTGTATTTTTACCTATACACGACTAATTACCTGTAATTTAGACACCTGTCATAATTCAACAGTAATATTATAAATATATCTCCCAGACTCTGTTTTATTTCATGGTAAAGTCTACCAACGAAAAGTCAATAATTTGCAGATTCAAATCTTATACAGTTTAGTAAATGTGGATTTTTTTTATTGTTAAATTGCCGTATTGTGAATCATATTATTATATATGAGTGACACATTGTGATAAGTAAAATCAAATTTTGGTCGTATATAAACCGTTACAGGCCACATTTAGGGGACCAAAATACCTCAGAACGTGTAAGGAACGAATTTTGGATGTTTCATTAACTGTTAATGTTTATATTGGATGATATTATCCTTTGAAGTGCAACAAAACGTGGAATTAACTATTGTACCAATTTTTATTTTGACTCAAAACATAGGACGTGTGAAAAAGATATTCTAGGAACTGATCCGCAGACTCGAAGCAAAATAAACAGTGGATTAAACTTAATATAATTTCTAAGAGATATGTGCTGTTAATGAACAATTGTTGTATAATATAAATAATATGGCCGGTTCAGGTAAGAATTGTTTTGTGTTTTGTGTTTTGTTCTCAATTGTCCCGGACGCCAAAATGTATATTTGCAAATCGATACAGATAGTTGAAACAGAGCTCTATTAGCTGGAGATGACTATACAGATAGCTGAAATTAAGCCCTATCAGCTGGTAAAGTTAATATTTAGATGACTATACAGATAGCTGAAATTGAGCTCTATCAGCTGGTAAAGTAAATATTTAGATGGCTATACAGATAGCTGAAAATGAGCTCTATCAGCTGGTAAAGTAAATATTTAGACAACTATACAGATAGCTGAAATTGAGCTCTCTCAGCTGATAAAGTAAATATTTAGACAACTATACAGATAGTTAAAATTGAGCTCTATCGACTAGAAGAGTAAAAATTTATACAGATAGCCGAAAATGAGCTATATCAGCTGGTAAAGTAAATATTAAGATGATTATACAGATAGCTGAGATTGAGCTCTATCATCTGGTAAAGTAAATATTTATACCGATGGATGAAATTGATCTCTATCAACTGGTAAAGTAAATATTAAGATGACTATACAGATAGCTCAAAATGAGCTCTATCAGCTGGTAAGGTAAATATTTAGATAACTATACAGATAGCTGAAATTGGGCTCTATCAGCTGGTAAGGTAAACATTTATACCGATGGATGAAATTGAGCTCTATCAGCTGGTAAGGTAAATATTTAGATGACTATACAGATAGCTGAAATTGGGCTCTATCAGCTGGTAAGGTAAACATTTATACCGATGGATGAAATTGAGCTCTATCAGCTGGTATAACATTATTATTATTAAAAGGACAGATTGACTATTGTCGGGGGGGGGGGGGGGGATGATTTTGGTCTCAAGAACAGACAAGTCGTCTTTTTAACTTTTAAACGGGGATTTTGGACACACATGGATATGAAGACTAAAATTTCGATGGTGAGCTGCGAAAACTATTACTGATTAGGCTTAACTAAAAAAATTCCTGTTTCTGAGACTAAGGTATGATTAGCCATACGGATGACGAATCTAGGTTTCTTCTACTCGAACGACCACACGTTTCTTCCCTGTCAGTAGATTTACATAAATTGTGATTACATCAAATATCTCACGAGACATTTTATATTTTATTCATGACTCGGTTGTCAAACTGTATATCTTGTCTCAACTTAGAAAAAGGAAACGTCAATATTCTATAATTAATATGGCACGATTATTTATAATGATGTATCAGAGATTTATGAAGGTTCTCATTTTCTTGGCTTCCTACCACCTGAAATTGTCTGCTTCAGGCATAGCTTAATCATGTAGCTCTGGGATGGGAATATATAAACTAACTACCAATGGCGTAGTCAGGTTTACGTCCGAGGGGGAAGGGGGGATATCTGAGATTGCTAGAATTGGAAAGTGGTATCAGATGTCTAGAAGAGAAAGAATAAGATATATCATTTCATACGTAGACCATTAGACCCAAAACAGGAATTGACAAGCCTCTGGTAGATTATACACGTATTTTGTTAGTCCGAAACAAGACAAATTTGGCCCTAACCGTTCCTAGGAAGTGAATTACGGATGGTCAAGGAACGTACTGATATCCCATCTGTAGATGATGGGACGGGTAAAGGACCTGCTTTGTCAATTAACCCAACCGCACATGCCCTCGGTTTATTGATTTTTTCCATGTTAGTTCAAAGGAATTTTAATTGAAATATATATATAATATGTGTGTTGTATCAAAATTTCTACTCGACTGCCTGACATAATATTATTTATATTTGATAAGAAATGAATTTGATTTTAGAAAGGTTTATCGATTTGACACCTAATCTATATAATCAAATCAAAATACCACATTATTACTCAGATTTGAAAAGTTTCATTTAATCCAAACGCTCTGTACAATGAATAAAAAAACTCAAGTACTAACATTTGTTGTTTCAATAACAGAAACATTTCGTGATTTGTTTAGTACAATACAAGAAAACAACATGAAAATACGTCGTAAAGTGTGAAGTGACATGATTGTAAATGTCATCAAGTAATTATAGATAATCGGTCCAATTATGCACATAGTACAAATCAGCATGTTTATATTTGAATGAATGAATGAATGAATGAATGAATGAATGAATGAATGAATGAATGCATGAATGCATGAATGAATGAATGAATGAATGAATGAATGAATGAATGAATGAATGAATGAATGAATTAATGAATTAATGGATACATTCATCTGAATGAATAAGATAACGAATGAATGAATGAAAAAGAAAGAAAAAAAAAGGAATGTATGACTGACTTTGCTTTATATGTCGTAAAGTCAAATCATTTTCTCCTTTCAGAGTTATACCCAGTGCTTCCAAGGAAAGACAGTACCGACAGAGACTCACCTCTCGACTTTGCCAAAATGGATTTGGGGTGGAATTTATCCGACAGGCCACAAACGAAGACAGTTTTGGAGAAAGCGTTTAAAAGGAAGAGATCGAAACCGAAATCCAAAGTGAATCGTGCCTATTTAATTAAAAAATCCCTCCAAAAAGCTCGTGATTATTTGCCGTCGTGTGATTGCTCATGTTTGTGTTTAAAGGAATATATTATGAGGATATTTCCATTTATTAAAATCATGCAAGGTTATAGTTTACTGTATGATTTCCCCTGTGATTTAGTGGCTGGATTAACTGTGGGCATCATGCATATTCCTCAAGGTAAGATAGTTACGTCCCTTTGTCATTTATTGTATTGAAGAGTAACGCCCCTTAGGCATTTTTGTGTTTAAGTTTTACGCCCCTTTGTCATATTCCGTATTGTAGAGCTATGGCCTTTTGTCATTTTCCGTATTGAAGAGTTGCACGCCTTTGTCATATTTTGCATTGTAGAGTTACACTCCTATCGCCCCTTTGTCATTTTCCGCATTGAAGAGTTACACCCCTTTGTCATTTTCCGCATTGAAGAGTTGTGCCCCTTTGTCATTTTCCGCATTGAAGAGTTGCACCTTTGTCATTTCCTGTATTGAAGAGTTACGTCCCTTTGTCATATTTTGCATACACGAGTTATTTCCCTTTGTGATTTACGGTTTCTTGCCCTTTTACGTCTCTTCTTTTATAAATGGTTATCTATTTTAGGAATGGCCTATGCTCTGTTGACGCAGCTTCCTCCAGTATATGGTCTCTACACTTCGTTTTATCCTGTTGTTATTTACTTCTTATTTGGTACTTCTAGACACGTTTCTGTTGGTAAGTCAATCCGTTTACAATAACTTACTTAATACATACATCATCCTCATCATTATTTACATCATCAACGTCATCAACGTCATCATCAGCTTCATCATCGTTATCGTCATCATCTGTAGCCGCGAAAACTGTATCTCCTCTCATTATTATTATTATTATTATTATTACAGGAACGTTTGCTGTGGTCAGTCTAATGGTAGGAGCAGTCGTAGATAAAGGTCACGTAGCTTACCAAAGATTGGAATTACTTCACGCTCAGGCGTTGGCAGCAAATATGACGTCATCACATCCTGCTTTGAACTCCACGTTCTTAGACGGTAAAAACCACATAGAGAAACTAGATGAAATTAAGGTAGCCTACGCCATGTCCGTCACTTTCGCCGTGGGAGCTCTTCAGGTGATTATTTTAATTAAAACATTGTACATAATGCCCTTGGTGTCTCTTTTCAATTACTTGACCCGTTTCCTAACCTGAGGCCTTCTAATATTATCGAAAATAGAAAGACAGAAACAGCAAGGAACCTTTCTACCAGCTGGTTCTTTGTCTAACCTCATGGTATTGATCTTTCTCTGCTTATCCGTCCCAATTTACAAGTCTCAAAAATAATGATGCTGTGAATGGCGTGTTTCCAATACATATACATGTACCTTACTAAATAGTCTAGTTTAGACAATTAGTCATGAGATAAGCTGGAATGATGAAGTCTGCTACCTTATTAAATATACAAGAATTGTAATGATATTATTTTCAGTTGATCCTAGGATTTCTGAGATTAGGTTTCGTGACAACGTTTCTATCAGATCCCCTGATTAGCGGGTTTACTACTGGTGCTGCCGTCCATGTGTTTTCCAGTCAGATTAAATCAGCGTTTGGTATCACTGTCGGTCGTTACAGTGGTCCTCTTAAACTTATATATGTAAGTATATAACTTAGTTGTCCCAGGAACTATCTTCAAGCTTTGTCAGGTGATATTTAGTGGCTATGCTGTCCAACACAACCACCTTCCTTTCCCAGAATCAGGCTGACCCGGATTCAGGAATAAGTATGTGAGCCCCCCTCCCCCAATTTCAAGCCCCCTATTTCTATATACGAACTAACGATTCGTAGAAAAACCAAGGGCTTGTCGTCATACTTTTCTTTACCTGATTGGGCTAATGAGGAAGGTAGGAGAGGTTCAGAGAGACAAATTCTGCTTTTTTAAGAAACTGACACGCACCCCTCCTTAAGATCATATTTCATTCAATACAACTTAGTATTTGTTCCTCTCCAGGCTTATAGAGATTTCTTTGCGAACCTTCATACAGCTAATATGGTAACGATGACAGCGACTATTGTGGCTATTTTAGCTTTGATTGCTATAAAAGAAGGTATTAATAACAATAGGTCATTGAAAAATAAATTAAAGATTCCTGTTCCTATCGAATTACTCGTGGTAAGTTTATTGTATTCTGTTTTGTTCAGATTTTGCCAGGAAAATATTGCCTTAATGTGGAAATAAGATCATCTATTTGTCTGCATTGTTCTGACCAATGTGTTAACTGGCTGCTTGCTTCTTGTGATAGCTACGCTAAGCTTAATTGGAATAGCATACTCACAGACGTCTAACTTAAAATTGGAATGGTGCAAATCGATACCAATAGTGCCCCTGATACATATAAAACGTTTAGAAAACCTCTGTCTACGGTCTATGAAAGCCATTCTCACCAATTTACAGATACCGTTATCCCAACGTCGCGTCTTGTATAATATATATACGTGAAACTAAATGATTTACAACAGACATCACTAAAATTATTTTACAGATTGTTGGTGCTACAGCGTTATCATTTTACCTTCACCTGAATCGAGAATTTAACGTAGAGATAGTAGGAGAGGTGCCACGGGGGTAAGATACTTACTGATATTAACCTCTGATTATTACAGCCACAGGCTCTTGTGACCTATAGCATAAGATACCCTTTCTTGGTGGTCAACCAAATTAAAATAAGATTACAATTTCAATTCTTTTCCTTGTTTCTGATGTTTCGCCTCCATTGTAATCTAACAACTTTCTACAGCAGTCTTGTTCTATCGATGTTTTTTTTAAACCAACCCGGTTATCAAAATCAATGATGAATTGTGGGATAGCGGAACTAAAAGAGACTGTCATATTGCTCTACTTTTGTTTTCCCTATCATAATTCTTCCTTGCAATCAAGGATGAATGCAAATACAAGATGTGTTATGTGTCTGTCACTAATAAACGCCCAATATTAATATCAATCTATACTCTTTCAGATTGCCTCCACTCAATATTGATAATCTAAAATATGTTCCTGATTTAATCGGAGAATCATTTGCTATTTGCTTCACGGCGTTTGCTATTTCATTTGCAATGGCTAAAATACTGGGGGATAAACACAACTATGAAGTTGACGCTAACCAGGTTTGTATACTGTTAAAATATTCTCGTTAATTTACAACATATTCCCTGGCAGCTATTTATCCTTCAGACTATTTTATTCAGTATTTCAGCATTTGCAATTGATTATCAACTTTGCAAGTATCATGAGTTTTGTTCAATTTGCTACGTCTCGACTCACTACATTATTCTCATTGTTTCTATATTTTTGCAGGAATTGGTAGCGTTTGGTATTTCTAATATGTTCGGTTCCATGTTCTCGTCATTCTGTAGCTCGGCCTCGCTATCTAGAAGTATGGTACAAGATAATGTCGGTGGTAGAACACAGGTAACTGGATATTTATTGCTAAAAATAACCTGCTCTTGAGAGACTGGGCACATGCACCCATATTTTAGAAATTTATTCATCGAAAAATTGAAGTTACAAAGCCATTATCACAAAGATTACGTCCTAAATACGAGAATGACAAAATTTCGGAAGTTGGAATAAATTCGGATTTGTTATCATAAATGTTTTTGAGATCCAGTGGGCTTATAGCTTTATGAACTATGCCCAAAGCGTTATACAGACGAAAGCGATTTGAAAAGGAGAATTCGACAAAAACCAAGATGTGGCACATGTCCTTACCATCCTGCATCATTCAAAAGAATTATTGCTAATGTACTAAACTTTAATGATATTAATATGATAATTTATTCAGGTAACAAGTCTGGTATCAAGTTTTTTAGTTATTATAGTGTTAGTTTCACTCGGTCCTGTATTTAAATATCTACCCAATGTAAGTATTTTATCAGTAGAATTTTCCATTCACCCACAGCCCCTCTCATAAGATTGTAGAAATATTCTGTTTGAAAAATGGTGCTGAAATGAAATAGAGATTTTCTGTTCCTTTTTTTGGAATCTGTAGGTTCTAGGCCCTCTCATAAGATTTTATTGTTATTAAACAGTTTATTGGAATAAGATATTTGGATATTGATGTTGAAATGAAATGAATTTAGTCTTGTGCCCTGATTTTCTGCTTTTTCTTGGGTTAATTGAGAATTTTTAATAGGAATTGAAATATGCTTTCAGTTTATTGATTTCGATCAGTTAAATACCATGTTCACTCGACAAGTAGTTACCATTTATCTCTATTTCAGTTGTAAAATGTGATCTTTCTTAAAGAAATAGAGTAGATTTATCATTCTTTACTCAACTTATTTAAATATTGTCTTTCTTTACGTTTTTCCATCTGGTTTATTGTTTTAATACATCTATTATTTATTTCAGTGTATCCTAGCTGCTATTATTATCGTCTCTCTGAAAGGTTTATTTCTTCAATTTACCGAACTGAAAAGATTGTGGCGAGTTTCAAAAGTGGATTTTGTAAGTCGTCTCATATTATTATAAAATATCTCTATTATATCTATATAGTCCATATCTCAGTCGAACATTTACACCAGCGAATAATATCACGCATGATTTACCGTCAGATGTTAATATAATATCTTTATTACGCAAGAGTAAAATCTCAGGTCTTCAAGGGATTGTAAAGAGGTCTTTATAAATGTTTAATGTGTATCGGAAACATCAATTTACACCCTTCCAATTTTCAGTCAGACGTCTGTGATTCCTGCAATTCCACTTAAACTAAGTGTTTCATGACGTCACTGCTCGCAATTATGTGATAAAGCATAATGTTACAAGTGACGTCATCAAACACTTCTTTTTTTACAATCCCTTTAAATTATCGAGATCCTGAGTTCTATCGTAAATCTGTCCCCAATGCAACCAAAAGACAAAATAAAACAATAAATAATTACATTGTGCTATGTGACAGAGAGAAATGCCCTATTTTGCTTGCAACAGATGCTAAACTACATGATTTGAGGTACTGATAGATGTATTATTATCGGCTATGATATGATCTTATCTTAATTTTGTATCATTTTTTCTGTATGCATGAGAAGCAATGTATCGCTATAAGCTGCTATACAGCAATATTCATAATATATTTTGTTATTTATTTCAGTCTAATTAAGATTTCGTTTCGTTTTTATTGTTAGCTTTTATCTTCATATAGTCGCTTCTGTTAGGGTCTAACGACAGCACTTTTTAACGTTCGTCAAATTAACCTTTGAGCTCACTCACTCGTCTGACATAACCAATGAAATTTCTACCTTCTCCAGCGCTGTCATTTTGTGACGCGGTGTTTATCAGGTCAGGTCAAGAGGTCAATTTGAGAAACCTTGAAGAGGGCTATCGTTAGACGTAACTGAGATGGCTATAGTAAAGATAAAGGCTAATGATAAAAAACGGAACGAAAGTTTGGTCTAATTTTAATTAAGACTGCTATTATTATGAACTCGTATTGTTATATATAGATATATCACCATACATTACTATTAATGTCTATTTTCCTCTGCATTACTATTATATATTTATATATTTTATTCATTGTTTTGTAGAGTGTGTGGGTTGTAGTGTTTTTAAGTACAGTATTACTAGATGTTGACCTGGGTTTATTAGTTGGTCTTATATTCAATTTAATCCCAGTTTTATTAAGAACACAAACGTAAGTTACACTTTTACACAAATGTTCATTATCTGCCAGAATCCATGCTTTCAATCTACTCCACAAAGTCATTTGACAGTTCTACGTCTTGATACTCTATTTTAGAAATTAAATTTGCATCCTTCAATTGAAATAAGTATTGATTTTATTGTTGAAAATCCTTGCATATCCGAAACGGTTCGGTCGTTTTCTTAATTATTACGACTGGTGAGAGGAAATATGCCTTGATCGAGATTTTGATTAACGGAATTTCTTTTGCTTGTACATTCTTCTTTTTTTATTAATATGCCATTTTCCCCTCTTTAATGAGCTGGAGGGCTTCTTTCTCAAGATATTTAATACCTTAAAGATATATTTTGACTATTGCTACACTAACCATATTAACTCTATTTGTAAATAACCTAGAAGTTTCTACATATAGAATTGTCTTATTTAACTTTTGTTACATCATCTTTTCATCTAAAACCCAGCTTTACAAAAGCTGTATGGTAAAGCCGAGATTCGTAATGTTATTCAACTATGTATTGAATCTTACGATTGAAATTTTTCAGGCCATATACCAGCTTATTAGGAAATGTAGAAGGAACTGATGTTTATGCTGATATCAGTCTACATAGAGAGGTGGGTTTTTATTAGAGGATCACAGGAGCATAAAATAATAACCAAGTAACAACGATTCAAACCCCAAAACATAACCCAAATTCAAAAAACCCGCATATTTTCAAACCCTGTCCATCATTATGTGTACATTGTCTATAAAAAGGTCAAAATATTTTATATTGTCTTGATTTTATTAGAAACTTGATAACAACAAAATACATACCTTTAATTAGCTATGATGAGTCAGGTTCGATAATTATTCAGAATTACTCTAATAAATAAATATTGTGAATATCTGGCAAGTATAAAATTATCAAAGCGCTAATACCCCAAAAAAATATTCTCAGCTTTATGAACTAATTTGTTCTAAAATCCTCAAAATTTTTCAGGCTAAAGAAATTCCAGGGGTCAAGATATTCCGCTTTGAATCAGCTCTGTACTATGGAAACGCAGAACATTTCCGTAAGAAGTTGATCAAGGATACGGGATTGGAACCAAAAGAATTGAAAAGAATAAAACAGATAAAACATGACGAAGATATGGCTAGAAAACACAACGACGTGAGTAATTATTTATAATTGGTAGAAACACCTAATTCACTGAACACCTAACCAACCTTTTCATCCATTCATTCATTGGCGAAATTTCTATTATGTGGCTCACTTAATTTATGATTTTTCACAATCACGTGACCTTTTGACTGACATCTAGCGTTAGTTTCTAATTAACTATATTCTCAACCTCCTCTTTCATTTTCTTAACCACTAAAATGTTACTCCATGATTAAACTATTACAAAAAAGGGCTTGTAGATAAGGAAATTGTTGTAACTATTTCGACAGCGGGAAAGCTAAATAACAATCATCTGATTTAATACATTTTGACCAATTCTGACGAATGATTAACTGATAAAGAATCTTGAATTTTTTTTTCCAAAAATAAATCCAAATGATCTCATCGGAATCAGATTCTGGTTTACAATACCGAATTTAATATCGTTCAACTGTCCTCGAGAGGGTCATTTCACCCACATATTCTTTTCTAATCAAACAAAATCAGTTTAAATTTCCCACGAGATTCCATCAACTTCCTCGACAAATATAACTAAAAGAGTATTTTAACCACTAAACCATATTAGATGGGAATGATGAATCGGCCATCAATCTCCAATTACCGGTTTCCTACCACTTAGAATGGACATAGAATTTAGATTTGTAAACTTGGTCATCAGCGAAAGTACCTAGTGTCATAACTATACAACAGAATACCTTTATAATCCAATAAATCCATAAAACAACGTAATTATTATGAAAAAACACATACGCATCCAATATTTGCATAGATTGTTAACAAAGACAACTTACCAAATATAATGATTTTGATTTATAGGTCTGCATGGCAACCAAGACTGATTGGAAGGATGATCCATGTAACCATAGCGACACAGATCCTAATCCTGATGATAAAGAGAATGATGAAGTGGAACCGTTTGCTATAATATTAGATGGTTCTACTATACAGTATATAGACTCTGTTACAGTCAGAGTTCTAAAAGAGGTACAGTATGGTTTATATTAATGATACCACATTTTAAAATAAAAATCACAATGTATTATCCTAGAGGATGTTCTAAGGGAATTGTAAAGAGGTTTTCTAAATTTTTCATAAGGATTTCGCAATAAGTGGTGTTATCAAACACTTAGTTTTATTGGAATTGCAGGAACCACAGACATCTGATTGAAAAATTGAAATGGTGGAAATTGATTCTATCAGTGTCCCGATATACATAAAAAATTCAGAAAACCTCTTTACAATCCCCTTTAGATTTTAAGAGCCGTTGACCTTTCATACATTTCAAGATGGAATGCATCATGTTCTTTGGAAATCATTTACAGGGTAGTAGTTTGATTAGCACTTCTTGTTACATTTATACAGAATTGTCATGAATACAAAGAATGAAAGAAACAATTGTGAACAAGGATAACAACTTAGGTTCACAAGGATCCCTCGTTTCTACCAGCTGGTCCTTGGCCAAAACTCTTGGCAGTTATGTTTCTCGGATGACATATTCCAGTGTGACCTCTGCAAAAAGGCATACCATTATTTTGCTAGACCTGATAAAACACAGTAATGCCTACCCAAAATCATTTCTGAAGCACAATCAAATTTCAACACGTTCACATGTTACAAAGTTGTACAATGTACTTTGATAAGTAATGCCCTTCCCATAACGTAACGGAAACACAATACGTTTATATCAAATTTATATTTAAAATGATTATTTACAGATTGTACAAGAATTTGCCGCAGTTGATATTGAGGTTTTTCTGGGCGAATGTAAACGTAAGTTGAAATTATAAGATTATCAAACCATAACATAGTACACATGCATGCCTTTTCTCACTGATCATCCTGCGAGCAACTTTCAAAACAACAACATTGTGATTTAAATGGGATGTTGAACTCTCTCTCTGGCAAATAGACCTTCACTAAGTATAAACACTGCATCAGACTAAACTAATTATATTACGTTCTATTTCAGCACCAGTACGTTCTATGTTAGATAAATCGGGGTTCTATAAGAATATTGACAGGAAGCATGTCTGTGCCACCATTCACCATGCTGTTAGAATTGCTCAAAGATCTAAAACTCTACAAGTTGATCCAGAATTCCAGGAACATAGAAATAAAGCAGTTTCCATTGATGTAAGTTTTAAAAAAAATCAATTAATCTTTACAGCAGTGTAATCACATTGGCGATATACCCATCGAATTACACAATAACGTGTTTTTTACAATACAATCCAGTCCAAAAGTACAAAAACCGATGCTGTATTGGGATAGACAAGAACTGAGTTCCATATTCTACCATTTAAGATGGGCACAAACTGCACTCTATAGTAAAGTAAAATAATATTTTAGTGCGCATTGTAATATTTGCGTATTATAGTCGCAAATGTATGTTATCGAGTGATATATCTCAACTAGTATTTAGCTAGTAGGTCTTTAACGATCGGGGTATCGGTTTATCTCAAATTTGAATGACTGAAAGTCTCTACCAAACGAGCCCTCAGATCTGAATGGCTGTAAGAAAAAAATACCATATGGACAACAGTAACCTTCTGTTCGAATTCTCTCTTATTGTAAAGATGTTAAAGAGTTAAAATGGAAGATTCTTGGTAAATAATCTCTTACAAATCTTCTTATCTTTCCAGACATTAAACAGTGATTACGTCATGGCTCCAGAGTCCAGATTTGTCAACCTAGATTTAATGACGTCACATTCCGATGCTGATTCGGATTCCGAATATATTCCTGTGAGTATAATTAAAACTTTTGAATTTTCTACATTTCTCGAATTATGTGATTAACGATATTAACAAACCTCTGATTGTTAAATTTCACATCATTATAGTGATTTATGTTGTCCAATTTCAACCGAAATACTTGAATATTAATGATCTACAATGTACATATTTACATCATTTTCAGATTCAACAAAAATCTCATATTAATCCTAAAAACTTCGCTTTTCCATTTTCCCAAATTTCCCAAGAATCTGTAGCTTTTATTTTTGACTTTATTATATTTGTCTATTTCAGTGAGGAAAAGTGACTTAATTTGAAATAGAGAGAAATTAGCATAATTTATTTAAATTATTTAAAATATTCATAAAACTGGCTACCGTTATTAATGTGCGTACGTATAGAATTACCGTAAATACTTACGTACCTAGGAGCGAAATAAAGAAGTGACTTTAATATTTAAATACTATTTAATGCTGTAAATATTAGAATGTTGAAATGTAAAACTGTTTATAAGAAGCTGTAGTTCGCTGCTTTCATAATGTTCTGGAAAGAGTGTAAAAGTAAATGACTGTGAAACTGTGCCTTTGTTTGGATTGTGTAAATGTAGAAGTGGTACTCAGACGAAACTTTAAAATGTCTGGATAAATATGACTTAGACATAAACCTTTAAAGACGATACATATTTACCAATTTGGAGACATTTAATTGCTCGTTCATAATATATATTTGCGACTATAATACGCACATTTGGACAAGACGCAGCCTTACACGGTTAGAGATTCGGGCAATCTCAGATATCTCGCACCCTCTCGGACGTAAACCTGGCTCCACCACTACCGTTACCGTACTTTAAAAAGACAAAACCAACCACAAAATATTACTGCTTATACAATGCTAACATTCAGCAAAAAATTGAGATATTTTATGGATATTTTATGGATATTTTACGGCAATGGAATGCAAGTGCCTACATTTAATATATATGATCTATCAGGACCGTCGCTATAGCAAATGTATCGAGTTTGACAAGAAATCTATTTTGTTTTAAAAAAATTAGAAATATAAACATAATATCCGCTAAATATATCGTTTATTTGATGTCTACGGTAACGGTGGATACATTTAAAGTCTACCGAAATCGTTGCGATGGCCGACATAACTGGCTGTAAAGACAACAGGTTTTTTGCCTAGACTCTAGTTACGGCCCTGTCTATTTCTGTGAATATAACAAAACACAAGGGAATATATTATGGTATAACACACTTTAATAACATAACGTGTGTTTTGTTATATATATTTACTCGTGTTTTTTGTTATTTGTGCTTTCAGCTTCTATATGTCGTTCAAATCATATATTAATGTTTAGGTCAACAAGACCTGTTATTTATAATAATAAGATGATACTTTCTAATCATATGAAAACTGAAAAATGTGCTTTCAGCTTCTAACTGTCGTTCAAATCTTATATCAATGAATAGGTCAACAAGACCTGAGATTTTAAATGATAAGATGACAGCGTTCTAATCACATGAAAACTGATCTTTTAATAATAATAACCAGTGAAATCAACTAGAATTCTGTTTTTTTAAGGCTGAAATCGGATTTCTCGAGTCTATTTTAGTCTCATAATAGATATAAATACACCAGAATTCTATAAGATGATATATGACAGATTTAAAGGAACTCACTCCTACGCAATTCTAGTATTACATGCTATAGAACTAAAATGGAAAATATTTTATAATATTCATGAAAAGGGGATAATGGAAGACAATGGCCATCTATTTGTGTAATTTAAGATCTGTAAAAGGATTATAAAGAGTTTTTCTATATTTTTATGTATTGGGACTACTGATAGCATCCATTTTCATCATTCAAATTTCAGTCAAACGTCAATCGTTGTTGCAATTTACATTAAACTAAGCGTTTTATGGCGTAGTCTCGCAAAGGTTCTTAGATATTATTAGTAGCCTCTGTGGTAGATACGTCTTGAACAGTTGAAAAATTACAGGAATCAGAGACATCTAAAAAAAGATTGGATGATGCAAATTAAGGACATCAATGGCCCCGATACACTTTTAAACAAAAATGCTAGAAAATAATTCAAGAATAAAACGTGTGCCTGCAATATAATTTTTTTTATGTAAATATTATTTAAGTGTGAATATTTATTTTAATTTATGTAAATATGTAATTAGATAAATAAAGTTCTCTGAAATCAATACAGCTGTTTTATTTTATTTGTCTACAAACATTCGATGTCAGGGTCATGTTAAAATTTGCGCGTGTCAAGGCAATTAATTTAAGTTTTTCGTTGTATTTTTATGCACCGTATTTCGTGTATCTAACCCTTTTCCGCAGTCTAACAGTATTCGATATTCGTGCACATCTAGGAAACATCTCCAGGAACGTATCGAACGATTTCCAGCCCCGTCGACAGGAATCAATTGGTGCCGGGGCTCAGATTTTATACTAAGAAAGTTTGAAGATTTAAAGACCCAGATAACTCATTTCTGACAATTTTGAGGTCCAAAAATGTATCAAAGGAAAGGTTGCTAGTGCTACCCTGTGAAGAAAAACACAACAATATAATAATATTTGAAGAATTGTAATAATCACAGACAGAGTAAATTGATTCTAGTTAATCACTAACTTGTTCTCCTTACAAATACACAGTTTGAAAATCTACAAAAACACGGAATGCTACAATTATATTATATTATATACAATACAGTATTATTTTAGATATAGGTAACAGGGGGCTTTAGATCAACATGTCCTTGACTATACATTATTGGTGGTGTTCAGTCAACTCGTGTACATGTCAACTCGTGTACATGTCAACTTGTCAACAGTTAACTCGTCGAATATGGACCACAGAATAGTCAAAGAAGGGTTTAAAAGTAATTTATAAACGCCTGTGGTGCAGCAAACAAACAAAGGGAGAGAATACCCTCTACCTTCCCCTAATATTATTACATCATAAAGTATAGGCTAGAATATCTCCCTCCATTCTAGCCTCTTGCACATATTGGAAAGTTGTTTGCTTCTGTCAAAATAGCTATCAGAGGCAGGTGTTTCAGTTTACATAAAGGGAAATAAATGTTTTAGAAAGTTCAATTGAAAGAAATCTGTTTCTACTATGTTTCTAAGTAAATAATACATTTTTTACATAATAATACATACATAATCTTAATACATGTGATACACTGTTGAAAAAAGCGTGACATTATAGTACAGATTAACTGGTTTGTTTGGACAGTCTTAATAAGTAGAATAATACATGATGATTTGTTAAAATTGTTAAAAGCTTGAACATAGTTTTTGGATAAAGTTAATATAAGAGAAAGGTCAAGGGAGAGTCATGATGATAGGAAATTAATCCAGGAATAGGTAGGTAGGTAGATGACAAGTTAACGTTCGATTCCAGCAGATGCTGATATCAAGGAATGGAAAAACTGGGTTAAATAAGAATGGGTTATTGAACCATTAACCAATCAAATCATAATAGTTTGGTCTGAACAGCCGATGAAAAAGCGTGTTTTAAAAACATTTGGCACCATATTCAGTTTCAGTGAATTTGATAAACTAGTCCCATGCTCCTGGGTATAAACCTTATTGTTAAGTGGCATAAAGATCTTAATAGATGGTTAGTTTAGACATATTTTTGGAGTTAATTCAGATTTGTAAAGGTATTAGTATGTATAGTCGAGTTCCATTACATACAGTTATCAAGTGTTATCAAGATGAAAGTTAAAAAGTAATATTAAGTATACAATGTAATACACAGTATATTTGGTATCAGACCAGAATAGACAAGGTTATAATCTTTAAGACACAAGTTATATAGATATACTACTTCTAGGTTTATTATATACTGCGTTTCAAAAGGTAATATATATTAAAGCAGGTATCTAGAACAATGATGATATAAAGAAAAATAACTGTCATATAATAATAGTAATACTGATAAACAAAGAAAAAAACTGATTTTATGAAAATAGCAAGCACTGACTATAAGAGATGAGAAATACATCTAGACTGGCCCTAGGGACGTTTTAAGAGACACTAGAACACATACATTTTCTTCAGTTTTAGTGATAATGCCACAACGTTACATGCGCTAATTTTATACCATGAACTTTGCTCCAAGAGTTACCCGTCTTCAATCTGGTATATTTCTAAATACTATTTATTATACCTCAAATAAAAGAGACCAAGGGCATTGTGAGAGTTATTTCCCATTGATCAGGTATATTAAATACATCATGTTCTATGGAACTGGATATGTAATGAGTATGTTTTGACTTTCCTGTCAATTCAAAAAAAGATTTCAGCCCCTCTTGGAGACCTCGAGCTAGCTACAAGCCTAAACAGACAGTGCCTGTAAGTTATGTATTAAAACATTGAAGGACATGTATAACTATCATTGATCTATTCACATCAGTGCTTGACTATAACCTACCTCAACAATTAATATCTCAAAATAAATTGCACTACAGATGTCTAAATAATTATTTCTAGCTAGTATAAATTCATTATGCGTAAAACACCGGCGTTACCTTACAGCACTATTTAACAGGGATTTAATCTTTAAATTATTCCTGATATAGGTAAACAGTCATCTCAATATCTAGATACACAACTATCAAATATTCAACTACTTTAAAATACTTTAAAATGTACTTTGCCACAGTTTCGTGGTTTTTTAACTTTCATATTTTCTTCTTGATTTTTGACAAATATTCAACTGGTTGTCCTTATGATTCCTAATGTTTTGTTTTGTAACTTCTACTCTTGATAGCTATACACAACTACCTGGCAAGTCTTCCATCTTCTATATTTGTCTTGTTAACTCTATCTTTCTTATAGCTTCTATACCCTTCAGTTTGTTTTATAAACTCTATATTTATTATAGCTTGCATCCTCTTCAGTTTGTTTTATAAACTCTGTTTTTATTATAGCTTGCGTACTCTTCAGTTTGTTTTCAAGTAAGCTAGGATATTGTCTATTTACAAATTTTACAACTAAAAAAACTAAGAGTTTATCACCATAAATGAGTCTCACGTATTTCACCAATAATATGACTTGCCCTTTGTAAAGCCTGAAATAAATAAATAGTGATAGAAATTTATAAACTCTTTACTTAATGTTGGAAATAGCTTAATAAATATTAATATAAACCTCTTCAAATTGAAAACAGGTCTACAGGATTTTCTTAACATTATAAAACCATCCTTTTGTATTTTGCATTATATTGTAATCCTTACAGAAGTTTAGAAACACCATGCTGAAGAATTCAAAATGTTCTAGCAGCCTCATCACGCCCACAAAAAAGCATTCCTTGAGCTTCCTCATCAAGTACTCTCATTATTCACGGTAGCAGGTTCATGTGGTACTGATCATGGTTTGGAATAATCAATATTAAGGGTTTGTTATTGAGGTCATAAGGGCTTAATTCAAGGGCTTAGACAGCCCTTATATTGGTATCTTACTTTGATAAAAAGTGTTCTGGGTTCCCTGATGTTCCCCTGAAATATTTAGTTCTCAGCCCCACCCCCACATACCTGTAACATTTCCTGAGCTTCCTTCCTACGTGTAAAAATATGTTCTGACTCTTCAAGTAGTATATTGATTTCTTCTTTCTTATATAACATACAGACCAACTCTGATTGGAGAGTATCTTTAACATGGTTCACTAAGAAATGCATGATAGCTTTGGGTATAGTATCTTGTATGTTCTTTCTTACTATTAGGAAATATGACCTGATTAATCTCTCTGAAATATACAATCAATAAAATAATTCACAGGTCAAAGAGTCCACATGACACAGAGTCAAAACATCACACAGTTTAATGGTGGCCAAACTACCAGTGTTATGTGCAGATTGACAAACCTGTGGAAACATCAAACTAAAGAAGCTTTCCCTTTATCATCAAGATAGATTCAGCTTTAAGGAAACTGTCTGGAGTTTCCTGATGCAGAATCAATCATAGAAGCATGGTGTTTGACATGGGATTATCAAGTAGAAAAACAGATCTGTACATGATGCAGACATGGTTGGCTTTTTTCCCTACTGTATCGGTAATCTTCCACCATACACCAAACTGTGGGTCTTCTTATCTCTAATTGATGAAAGGAAAACTATTTATCATTTCAGACTTAATTAATAAAAAACAAAATCAACGTACCAATACAATCACAATCTCTCTGTTCTCTACTAGAGAGTTTCATTACTGGTGCTTGTTCTGGCTGCAATTATAAAAATTCAACATCAAACATATGTGAGACCATTTGAAGATAAGTTTTTGAAAAGAGTGACATAACCCATGGCCCCCATTAACTCAATTCTAAAATCAAAACCTTAAAATCAAGTATGAAATTTCAACAAAATATTTTGAAAATGAAATGAGAGCAAGTCGATGATTTATTGATCCAAACTAAAAGGAAGTTGTGTTATAGTAACCAAGTTGGTTGAGTTATGTCCCTTTCTAACAGATACATCAGAAAACCATGGAATGATTCACACACCATAACCAAGCCAAAATAAAAATAATTGAAGAAGCATACCACTTCAGGAAGTAGATTAATACCACTACGTCTGTTAGTAGAGGAAGCTGTACGTGCTGGAGATTGAGAGGCGCTAGACGGAGCACTACCAGGTTGGGAACTGGTCTCAGAGTTCCTATCTGTTGTACCGATATCTAGTTTATTACTGCGTATTAAATTAGAGATTTTCCAGGTGCCTCCATTGATATTGTCTTGTATGTTGATTGCACCCTGTTTAAAGGAGAAATGAAATGAAAGAGTCAGAAACATGAAAGACTTCCAAGCTGCATGTTAGCCAAATCACCACAGATACCCTGACCCATTCACACACATGGTAACTTCCTTTAAAGGGATTGTAAAGAGGTTTTCTAACTTTTGTATGTGTATCAGGATATTGATAGCATCGATTTGCACCATTCTTATTTTCAATCGGATTTCTGTGGCTCCAGCTAATCCAATAAAACTAAGTTTTTGATGACGTCACTAATCAAGAATGGCCTGATGTGATACAGGCATATTTTGCAATTATTGACATCATCAAACACTTTTTTTTGTGGAATTGCAGAAACCACAGATGTCTGATTAAAATTGGAGTGGTGCAAATTGATTCTATCAGTGTCCCTGATATACGTAACATATTTAGAAAACCTGTTTACAATCTCTTGAAGCCAAAATAAAAGACATACTTGTTAGCACAAAATAGTATCCAACACTTGAATAGCCTACTATTACACACAAGATTTAACTACTACAAGCAATAACATGCAGTGTGCAATGAGTGAAATTTTGACTATGATTTTATAATTCAATTTGAAACTCCTACACCAGATGATAAATGACAATGGCAACCCAGAAATTGAATGACCTTTTTACTCAATATATCAAACTTTTGATAGATGGGACGACAAGTAAACCTTAAAATAGAAACATCTACCAACCTTATCATCCAGTCCTTGTTTCTGTATGGCCTCTCGAGATAATTTCTGTGTCATGGTTTCCTGGACTGCAGATTCTGTCATCATCTTATGTACAAGTTGTGCCTCGGAGAAATCAGGGTGCTTGGTGTTAATATAGGCTAATTCTATAGATACCAAATTCTCTACCTGAAATACATACAAAATATTCATGATTGATAGGAAATGTGTCATCTGTTGTAATATAAAAACACTTCCTTGATACAGGACAGCATGCCCCAGTCACTAACTTTCACTTCTTTCAAAATAAGTCCATCAAAAATTGCATGAAAGAGATTTTGAAGAAGTACCCAATTTCAATGCCATTTTTGCACTCAAAATGTTACATATTCAACACGTGCAACATTACAACCAATGTGAAGCTCAAATGCAAGATATGAATGTAACCATTTGAATCTAATACAAAATTTTTAGAACTTAATGACAATTACTTTGAAAAAAAGATTAACTCAATCCCTATACCTTACTTATTATTTGTAGAGAGAATTAATGTAATTGGGATGAAACTAACAAACACATTTGATTTTCCACTTTAATGACAAATTACCAGAACCTTATATAAAATTATCTAACATGAAAGCTATTGACTAAGGAAAAGTGATATAAGTAACACTACCATTGTTATATTTAATCAAAGTGAAAATCTTACCATACTGTTTGTGGGGGGTAAGCGTCTACGTAATAAATTAGTTACAACATCTACTATCTTCTCATATAGCTTGGGAAACCTCAACATTTCTTGCTGAAAAACAATTTTGACAAATTTCAATACAACAGAGCTTCAAACAGGAAAATAAAACATCATGTTTAACTTAAGTAAACTTATATGGGGGTGGCTTAATTAGTGAGTTCTGCACATACAGGATTCATGGAATCAGTCAATAAAACGTTTAATTAAAAAAAAAGAAGTTGGAACAGAGTTCAGAACGCGTTCCATGTGTGTCATGGAAGAAATGGAACAGACGGAATCTGTTCAGAACTGACCAATCAAGTGTTACCATGGTTATTAATCTATACAGATTGTCAATACCTATCTATATCTGGGTCAACTGGAATAAAATTAAAGAATCCAGCCGTTAATTTTTAAAAACCAAAAATACTTTAAACATTGCGTAAGGTTTTTAAGGTCGTTATGTTTTTTGGAAGCTGTTAGAAAACTACTGTACGGATTTGAGTAAAATAAACGCCAAATTGTAGAGAAATATATCTTCTAATATGTTCTAAAGGTTTCAACTAATAATATCAAGCCATTATAAAGCCAAACACCAAAACTAGGTTAAACTGCTTAATTAACAATTAGTACTCTTCGTTTTTAATTAACATTTTTAAAACAAATTCAGTTTGATCAAGTAGATACATAGATATAAATAACTTGCTTTAGAAATATATTCAGGTATAAGTTTCGATGTTTTTGATAATGCAAATGTTTTACAAAACAGTGGAATGCCCTTTTAAACCTATAATATAAGAGTATAAATAATACCTGTGTACCACAATGTTGAATCATTCTCTGCATTTCTTCATGAACCAGTTCAACACATCTTAAACTAGGCTCCTCTAATCTTCTTATCTGTCTTTTTACTAATAATTCAAATGATATTTCTGGCACAAACAACGCTGGTCGAGGACCCTAAAATACAAATAAATGTGTATGCTTAGTGTGAATATAGCCCTCTACAACAGGAAGATAAAGTGTGAAACAAGTGGTTGCCAAGCAAGATAAGACCACCAACCCAATAAAATCCAGTATATCAATGGGTGTACTTTGTGAAGATTTGTCAGGAGGCTTACAATTGGAAATGACCCAAATGACTGTGATCATTAAGTGCTACACTCAAATTTTACAAAAATCTGAAAACTGCAGTCTCTTTTGCGTTCATAGGCCACTAAGACTATTTTCAGTATATAAAGGGGTGAAACATTTGAAATCCAATCAAAATTCTAACTTGTAAAACTCTCCAATTGTGGAGAGACAAATCGATAATTAGACAGTGACAATATACATCAACATTTCAACGTGGGTCTATAACAATCGAACTCAGCTTACAGTAGCATTTCTAATAGCAGTAAGAACATCTCTAGTAGAGAGACCACCCAATGGATCGACTGATTCTAGTGTTCTACCAAACGTTTCATGAAATATATAACAGATTCTCGCTCCACCACATCTACAAATAGAACACATACAACCTGTTATTATTAAAATCAACATCATTCTTCTGATTTGGAGATGGCTTTATAAAAGTATTCCAAAACGTTACTGAACCTTGCTAACTGCAAACATTTTATAATATTTGTCAGAAATCTTATATTTCTCAATCTAAAAATCTAACTAATATCTACAGTACTATAAAATAACTTACAGTTCTGATGTTTCTATATTTTTAGCTGTACCTTCTATAGTATTACAATAAGCTGAAGCAAACTTTGTTATAACTTGTAGTAAAACCTGGGCCTGAAAATATAGAATTACCATTTACTATATATACCTAACATTTGGAATGGTGATATTCCTTATAAATTTCTGTTCAAGATTTTAGATGTCTCTTGGTCACAAAATGAACTCAATCTCTACAGAATGAAAAAAAAAATATGTTTCAAATATCAATTTAACTGTTTATTTAAATCATCTAGCCCGAACGAAAAAATCTATTACCAGTTATCACAATATGGCGATATTTCAGTATTTTCCACTAGGCCATATTACTAATAATATACTTTACTATACTGGTATTTATCATGATACTGATATATCACCCAGCTCTGAGTTTTCTTCACAATGTTTTCTTCTATATAAATATCCCTACCTTATCATCTATAGGTTCACCAAATGATGCCAGTAAATTCTGAAACTGTGCTATTAATACATTGACTCTAGTTTTTAATTCAGGTAGACAATCTCGTATATGATGCATCAATAACTGAAATATATATAAGATATCATTATAATAAAAACTACTGTATTTGGTTAATTGAACTATACCACTAATTGTTATTTACATGTAAATTGGAATATATAATCTTACAATAACTCAAAGTCTTGATTTAAACGTAAATTTTTGTATAAACACACTTCCCTCCAGGAAATTTCAACCAAAAATGACCCAAAATCTATTTATCAGGAGAACAGCAATCAATAGTACTAACTCTGTTTAATGTTTTAGCGAGATATGGTGTACCATTACGATTAGCTATAGAAGGATATTTCTTCTGTAGAAACGACGCTTCATCTTTTAATGCCTCTTGTAACTCCTGAAAATATAATATTTAAATGATTAAATGATTTAATCATTATTAAATAAATAAATAAACAAACAAACAGAGCAGACTAATGCCGCACTAAGCCCACATGGTGTAGAAACTTACACGTGAAACTCCATTCATTTCATTTCATTTTTTTTTTAATCCTCATAGATTTCATAAACAATATTACCCACCTTTGAGCTTTTAATATCAGCTTGACTTCTATTGACTACCCCTATAATACCCAGTTTAACTGGAATAACTCTTCCACATAATACATCCATAGCATCAGTTCCAGCATCCATTAGATCTAGTTTAGTTGTCACGGCTAATGTTCTTTTTCCTGTTAAATAAAAACCAAAATATCAAGTCTGACTTAAAGGATTCCATGGCAAACAGACAAAAGAGCTAATGCACGATAAAATTGATAATCACCCTAATTGTAAACCTTGATAATGACAAGCAGGGCTGTTTATATTAGAAATTCCAACCAGATAGCCCTGTTTGAAACTATCAGTATATTTTGGATTTTTTGTACTCTTTAATTAATAGATGTGAAAATATGTGTATAGTACAGGTAATCAAAACATTGCTATATAAATGCATTCTGTTATTATCAGATCAATAATAGGCCCTTAATAGTAGCTACTGGCAACCTGGGCTATTTCATCAGTATTTGAACACTAATGGATTGTGTATATATCTTTAACAAACAATCCTACCTTCAGGGTCAACCTCTCTACTGAGTTTTAAAGCTTCAGATGTAGAGAAATCAGTATTAGCTGCTGTCACTGCTAGAATTATAGAGTTAGGGTTGGAGATATACCGCAAACACAGTTCACGGATCTGAACTTCTATATCTACTGGCTGATCCCCGACCGGTACCTTCGTCATTCCTGGTAGATCTACCAACGTTAAGTTAACAACACGATTAGAAAATATCTTCAGATTTATCGGCTCTGGACAGATTCCCTGAAAGAGATGAACAAGAAGGAGTTTTACTTTCTACTTCTCTGCTCTTGGTCAAGCAGTGTGCAATGAGAGAAATTTTTGTCCAAGCAGCAGCAATATAATCCAGAACACTTGAGACCTTGGTTGATTTACAAATCTATATTTTACACAGAATGTCAGCATAATCAACAGTAGTGTGGATCTTGTGTACCCACTGATCCAAGACCAAATCTCTTTGCATTGATTTTTTCAGGATTAAAAGAAAAAAACATATATTTTACAAGGATATCAACTTAGGTTAACAGTTAAGAATCCTTTCTACCAGCTGGTCCTTGGCCAAACCTCTTGACATTGCTCTTTCCTGGATTATCCCTACCTATTTACAACTGGGTCAACTGGAATTATGAGTGAAGATGACTTATTCAAGGTCATTAGATTTTTACACGAACGTCTGTACGCTTACCCATTAATAGCTGGGTTGGCAGGAATAATGATTTCAGTCTTTGTTTTAGAATTAAATTTTTGACAAACATTACAAGAATTAATACGTAAGCTGCCTCACAGCCTTATCTATCTTACCCTATCACTTCCACCCATTCTGTTTGTTTCATTTTCAATTTCTTCTTTAATCTCCTTGAAGTCCGTATAGATTTTATTTTTAGTGTGAAGAAATTTACCAAACTCTTCTGCCTGTACCACCTCTATTAATAAAAATAACAGATCAATTGTCAGCTGGTAAAACCCATGTTACCTTCCACCAGGGTTCCAGAACAGTATAAATAGAACCCCGCAAGTTGAGTCTAATCGGTCTGAAGAGTTCAAACACGAACGAAACTAGTCACTGATAATCGATAATCAGGGATAACTGGTCGCATAGCCAATCTTTATCTCTTACAATTGTCATTTCATGGAAATACTGTAGGCTACAATTTTAATTTAAATTTCCAATATTGAAAGGGATTAGATGTATAAAGAAGATTTCTAAACCTCTTAAGTGTGTTGGGGATTCTGATAGCATTGATTTACACTATTGATTAGAAGCTATTTTCAGTCAGACTGCAGTAGTTGCTAATAATTTTTTTCTTAATCTTATATTGCATTAAAATATTCATTCATTGAGATTTCAAATTAATTTTAAGTACCAGTACATGCAAATGTTGATATTCTTTGAATTAGGCGTAAAAGGGAACAGTCGGAATTTTTGAGGATTGTTTTGGGTCTTGAATGTGCTTTAATAGTCCTCAGAAGTACTAAAACACACGCATATCGCATAATCCCTTCAAATATACCTCAAACTAGAAATTTCACTGTCTATTCCTATATATGTGTTAAATGGCATTGTCTCACTAAAATTTTAGTCGAATTTTCAACTTTCAAACCTGAATTAATATGGATTTGAAGGCTCAAATTTCGACAATGAGTTGTGAACACTATTACTGATTATGTAAGCTAAAAAATTCCTGTTTCTGAAACTAAGGTATGATTGGTCGAACGGATAGTGAAGGTGCTCCTTTAACAGGAAGAGATGTCAACTATATCAAGATTTCAGGAAGCAACTATCCACATCATGATTCAGACACTCATTGGGCTGAACTTGGAAATTATGAAAATAATTTTGACTCCACATGCAGCCAAGATTTAATATCTATTTTTCAAACAAGATATTATTTCATAATGTTGGTACCGGTAGTTTAAAATTTCAACTTACTGCCATCATGGTTTCTGTTCTCTGTATCATTTCTAGTAAGATGTATTAACTGTAAGACTAATGGTCGCCTGGTCACTATACCAGTACCACGGGGTAGAAAATCACGACCTACTAAATTTTCTATTACTGAACTTTTACCAGAACTCTGCAAATATAAATTAATGATGCAATTAATGTGAGGATGTAAGGAAATTGCTATAACCTAAGCCTTATCTCAAGTAGCTAGATAAACTTGGGCCAAATGTGTAGAGACCTACAGCGACTACAGTTCAATCTTGTGGGAATGACCTAATGCTATCAGCTCATCTCTAATCTGATGAGCAAAGTCTATGTCTGATATTGAAATTGATGGCTGAAACTGCTGCAAATGGGAGCCAGGAGGGGAAGGTTAGGCTTATTAAGCCTACAATCTTCATCGCCAAGCAATTTCAAAATTCAGCAGATCTATAGAAGAATTAACTTGTAAATTGACAATTTTGCATCATGATAAATTTGGTAAAAGAAACAACGGAATAGGTAGACACAAATTGGAGGGAAATGATTATTGCAAAAAGATGAAGGTCAAAATGGAAGGATGAAGAAAATAGATAAAATTGATACCTGATTGCCGATGACGACGATTTGTGGAAGCTGAATGACTTCAGATCCGACTGTGTTGAAGACATCTTGGAGTTTGTTGATAACGGGAATCAATCCCTCCATTTTTCCAATTAAATTTCCAAAATCTTCATAAAATGGCGAAACCGGTGATTAAGGGGAAACAACTCTATTTATGATATAGGACTCACTCCACTAAAACATTTTATGCAAATGATTGTATAGGAATGTAGTCCAGGCTATTTTTAGAAATCTTCTTTCTCTCTCCCTTTTGGGGTTTTTGCCTGCCTATTTTTGGGTAAAATTTGGTCTAGATTTGGAATTTGATGTCTGAAATTGCATTATCTTTCAGATTTGGTGAGATGATGAGAGACTTAAAGGCGGAAGGCTAATTCTAAAAATAGTCGTTTTGTGAAGTGCCAAACTCTAGCGGATGAGTATAACCGGTAGTAGTCTACTTTCAATTTTAGTAGCTCAAAATTTTCATGGTCATCATATAATGAATTTTTTAGGAGACATTGAGAATTGGTCAGGCTTTCATTCGACATATTGGAAAGCTTTCAACGAGATTTCTGGAAAAAGTTATAGAAGGTTGAATTTCGTGTTTTAACATGGGAAGAGATGGCAAATGAATTAGTGGAGTGAGTCCATATCTTTCAAAATAGTCGCTTTTGTCCAGACAGACGATTGGTCAAATCGTCCTGAATTAGCTCAATTGTTTATTTCAAATTGTTGAAAGAAAGTAGTTATTATTTTAATGATCATGGAGAATTATGATATGAAATTCAAAAAGTTGCCATCAATCTGTCAAGACTTCAGTTGAGTGGAAACTACTGGACAATTTGACTAGAGGTCGATATGTCTTAACATTACTGACCTACTTTTGACTTCCGGGGAGATAAACAACAACATTGTAAAAATAGTGAAAGTTAATTTTGTTTAATCAGATCCTTAATTAGCTGATCTAATTAAACAATAAAACAATGACGGACAGTGATCTAAGCGCTCCTTCTGTAAGTGAACCAATATAAGCAGAGTATAGCCTTGGATTGTTGAGAGCAAAAGCAAAGTTTTCAAAAAATACCGGTATTTCAAAAAAAAACAAGATGCATCCTTATCTTTTGTGAAAGAGCAATGCAATTTATAAATTTATTGGCTCATGGTGTTTTCTTTTCAACGATGGTCGTTTTTGGGCGATTGTGCCACCATCACAATTTCTTAACTTTATACCTAAAGACAAATTGCATATCAATTCAAATCCAAATGGTAGACCTCCTGCCTTTTGAACTAAACTCATTATTCAATCATAAAGTTTGCTTCTGTTATCTTAATATCTGTTCGTTCGGAATCTCAAGCAAAACTGTAGTGTTGTAACATTACTTGTGAACTGTCAAGCGATTAAGAATACATCCTTACTTTCGTCCATTTTGCTGTCTAAATAGAGATTTGTCCTGTCCGTCCAGTTATTGATATTTTTGTGTATTTTGGTCGATGATAAATATTTATCTCTTTGGTCATGTGATCTGTTGACAAACCTGTAGGGTAAAGGAAATGATTAGGTACAGATAGACTGATTGTAGTCTAAACAATTGTTGTTAGTGTTCATCTTCTCTTCTGAAAGTTTTCTAGGTATCTTTTATGTCATTGTAAATGATGTAAGTCATTTCTGAAGGCTTCAGATTTCTTGATAGAGTCAGTCTACTCTTAGTTAGTCACTTTTTTTCAATAGATCTTGTGAATTTTCATTTGCTTTTTAAAATTTTGCTCTTACTATAATTACATAGGTTGTATTTTGATATTAGTTTATAAAATCTTCAAAAAAAAATCTGATTAAATGAAATATTAACAGGAATTTAGTTATTTTCACGAGTTCTATTTGACAAAGAAAAAAAAACTTAAAGTGAGAGACTTATTTATATTTTTTTTCTTCCAGTGAGGTAATGAGGATGCATTATGCATATATATATACGTTGATTTATTCAATGAATTTTGATTTTATTTATTCCCTTTTCAGCAAGAAGAGATAGCCCATAGATTCAATATACCTGAGAGAAAGGTCAAAGTTCAAACTCTAATGAAGACGTTAAATGATGAAGAACAGAAATATTGTATCTGTCAATCAACTGATTGTACTTCCTTCATGATGTAAGTTCAATGTTTCATTTTTTTTGGAAAGAATAAGCTAAAAGGAATAATAGTTTTGAAAATTGGATTTCACTGAGGATAAATTAGATGTACGATATTCTAATGGTTTTGTTGTTTCACTCATAGTTTGTCTTAAGAATAAAATTAACATCTCTTACCGTTGATGAAAGGAGGCTAGAATTTTCTTTCTGCTTTGACATTTCTATCACAGGATTTGTTTCTATCAATGAAAAATTTAAAACTCTTAGATATTTGAAACAGCTTATATTTGGTTTTTGATTTGTTTATTTCTAGAGCTTGTGATAAATGTGAAGAATGGTATCATGGTGTTTGTATTGGAGTTACTCAACTTGATGCTAAATCTATTAAACATTATTATTGTGATGCTTGTAGAGGTAGGAGGCTCTTGATCTATTGACAATCAAATTGGTCCTAACCAATTTTACAAGGATAATCCTCTCTACCAGTTGCTCACTGGCAACCTCTGATATTGATATTTGACCTAAAATATCCAATATGGTAATGAATAGAACAAATGTTGAGCCTCTGTTTTCAATATTTGGGTAGAAATGTTAAAACAAATTTCAGAATACCTGGAGATGAATGAAAATACAAAATTACTTTGCTTTTGTGGACAGACCACGAAGTTATATCCCTTATTGGCTTAGGATCTAATGGTTTCAGCTATTGTATCAATCTGTAAGAGAACTATTATCAAACCTTATGTTTTCAATGTCTTCTCTCTGTATTTTATCATCCTGTATTATAATATACAGGTAAAGATCCTAGTTTAAGTATTAAATATAAAACTAAGAAACCCTGGAAAGATAAGTTTAAAAGTGATTCCAGTGATGTTGATAGAACAGCTAGAGACCCCAGACTACGTGAATCTGTAAGATTTTTAACATAGAATTAGAAAATTAGTAGCTTTCTAGAATTATTAGTTTTCTTATATTTTTTTTACTAATAGTGAATGACTTCTAATGAAAATTTCTTCATAATTTGCAATAATATATATATTATAGCTATTTGACTATGAAATAATATAGATATATAGGTATTTGAGCAGAGAAAATCTGAACATAATAATGTTTTTTGAAATCTTGTATAATAAGTCCATCCATCAATCAGATTTGCTACTGTGTAAATTAGACTATCACAGCCCATAATTCCCTAGCAGATGACAATCGATCTCACTACTAACTGAAGTATTTCACTGGTTGCCACAGTTTAAATCATGTTGTGATATATCTTCTGACTTTCATAATGTTTTTTTTAGGGTAAAGCGAAGAAATCGAGCAGAAGATGTGGAGATTGTACGGCCTGTCATAAAAAAGAGGATTGTGGGAGATGTGATTATTGTAAAGACATGAAGAAATTCGGTGGACCGAATAAAATGAGACAGAAATGCCGACTGAGACAGTGTGCTAATTTTGTAAGTTATTTTAAGGCTTTACTGTTATGATTTCATATTATTTTATTTTTGATGCAAGCCAGAAATCTGTTAGTCGATTATACTTAATTAGTATATAATTATACCCAAAACTATGTATGGATTTTTAAATAAAATTAGGTTTACTTCTTTATTAAGTCTTATTTGTGAAAGGGTTTGTTTTTAAGGTCTAAGTGCCCACAAATGAGAATCCAGGATCCAAAGAGACAATTGAAGTCATAAAGTTCTTTAAAAAAAAAGAAAAAAAAAAATCCATTATCAAGACAAATCCATGAAAATCAAGAAAATTAGGGATTTCGCAGGATGTCTAGTGATGTTCTGTTATTATTTTAGTATTACTATATTCTGATGGTATTGTTTTAGGGGTTAGCTCTATTAGGATTACCTGGTGTTAAAGAAAAAGATGAAGACTACAGACCACCTTTAAGGTATATTGTTATTCATTTTTGTTCTTCTTTTAACCATCTTGCCATTTGGACAACTGTCAACATTGCTAAGGCAGTGGTATTTCAATATCATGAAACCTTTTGAAATGAAATGAATGGAGTTTTACGTCCTACTCTTCTGCACCTAAATGGGCTAATGAAGACTGGAATAACTTTCAAAGACCAACTTTAATGGATAATTTTCTTATTTGGTTGAATATGATGGTTGTCATCATTCATTATATCATTCATTATAAGGTGTTTCTATATATATATATTCTAATGATTTGTTTATATCTTTATATTAATATTAGTGATGGAGAGATAGACACTGATTGGTCTGAAAATATTCCTAAAGTGGTTAGTATCTAGTATTTCTTATACTGTTTCAACAATATTTTTATAAACTGGTCCCCAATTCCAACTTCGTACCGAAGGAACAGGTTTAGGCTATTGTCATCATGGTTTTCAGGCCATACCGTACAGTAACGTCATTGGGGTTCCTAGTTGTCAATGCTAAATAGATGACGCCACGCTAAATCCTGCAGTCAATATTTTGATGGTGAGACTAAGACCGTACCTGTTGTAGGGTCCAGTTTATATTTTTTATTAAAAATAAGCTGTACAAGTAAAGCACTCAATTCTATTTATACTACAGCTCATTGAAAATTACAATGTTTAATCTTTTTTCAGAAGAAATATAGAAGATCAAGCTCCAGTGAAGGTACGAGTCCTAGAAAGTATCGTAAAAAAGATAAACGGAAAGAGAAACACAAGAAGGTCAAAGGTCAAACTAAAACCAAGAAAACGGAGGTGAGATATTATTGTTCTCGTTCGATCTCGGCATAGGTTGAGATAATATCTACTGATTTCTAGATATTGGGGTCTGTGTGTCTTCAATCAGACGCAGAAAAGCAAGTAAGTGAGTGGTCACTCGTTTGAGGTGGGTTAAAGCCGAGGTGGGTGAGTGAGTTAGATGCTAGCTTGTTAACCTGAAGGTACAGGGTTCTATCTCAGCATTGGTCAAGATACCAACTGATTTTTCAACCTGGTTTCTTCCTGTCAGTGATGCAGGTCAGAGGGGCTGACATGGAAAAAGAGTCATGTCATTCTGATGGGACAAGTCGAGACCTCTTGTGCTGTTTATTTATATACATTATGTATTAGAGTCAATATTGTATGGTGTACTTGAACACATATATGAAAGGTGTATAATCAAAAAGCTGTGGAAAGTTGGAAATCAAAAAGAGTAGACTAATGCAGCCGTCAAAATAAAAAGTCAAAATTTAGTCTTCAATACATACCAGTCAGGTAAAGAAAAGGTGATTTATTGAGGGCCACTAAACACTGTTTGTGATGAAGTGATAATTCTGTTGAATTCGAAACCTAAATATAAGCACCCTGACACTATTAATAATATATAATGATTATAATTCTGTAGAAATGGGAACTGAAGTGTAAGCACCATTTTGATATAATGAATATTATTTTTCAGAAATCGGAACCAAAGTATAAGAAGAAGAAATATAAACAGGAATCATCGGATACAGTAGAAATAGAAGATGATACACCAACTCAATGTTATGGACCAGGCTGTATAGAATGTGCCAGACCAGGATCTAAATACTGCTCTGATGACTGTGGATTAAAACTCTCTAAAAGGTAGACTTGAGTTTTAATTAAAAGCGTTGGCTATTTTTGTGCTGCATTTTACGTCTGGTTGTCTGTTATGATTTTAGAATCTAATTCAATACAGGAACACAAGAATCTTATGATGTAATGACGTGTTATTAAATCCCACATAAATCTTAGTTTTGTAAAACCTTCCATTCTAATTTACCTTACCATACTGGATTTCATGACCGTAGAATCAGGAGACAAATCTACCAATTTCTGCCATTGTAGACATCGAGAATTTCAAATAATAAATATTCAGAACATAATTCATAGAATATTTCACACACTGCATCCAATGCAACAAGAAAGATCATGTCCGTCTGGCTTGGATAGCAACTTCTCTATAACCTGTTTTATGATTTATGTAAATTTATATTTTTGTGTTATGTTTTAGTCGTATCTATGAAATGTTACCAAGTAGAATTCAGCAGTGGCAGAGTAGTCCGTGTGCTGCCGAGGAAAACAATAAACGAGCTCTAGAATCAATCAGACGGAAACAACTAGAGGCTAAAACTCGACTAGGTGATCTAGATCAACGTCATAAAGAATTAGACTCATTATTAGAACGAGCTAAACATCTTAAAATAGACCCTGATCAAGGGGTGAGTAACTCCAAGGATTTTATTTTACCCTGCTGAAAAAGTGGGTTTTTAGTATTGGGGCGTGTCTAAAAAATGCCTGAGTTGTCTCTTCAAAGCGAGGGCTTAATTAAACCCCTTCAGCTCAGGGTCTGGGGGCTGGACTGAGAAGAATCTTCAGTATTTAAAGGACTTAACTTTCATTTCAAAATAAGAACTTTTACTGGCCCGAGGGGGGAGGTTTGGCAGTCCCAATGGCCCTCCCCCTGAATACACCACTGTTTAGGGGAATTCTATTTTTTTCACTCAGAGAAACTTTTTTTGGGCTTTGTAACTTTCTAGCAGGTTTTGTGAGGCACCTGAAAATGATTCAGGAGTCCCCAAATTTTGGGAAGGAACCACCTTAGATCTTAGCCCTTACAGGTGCCGAAAAATTTTGATGCAAAACTCCCTTTCATTTCTATAAGAATATTAATTTGTGTATAACCAGGGAACTGAAACGGAAGATGATCTAGAGTTATCTCTATATTGTGTAACGTGTGGAAGTGAGATTAACCAACGTGGTGCTTTAAGACACATGGAGAAATGTTTCGCTAAGGTTTGTTCTGTTTATAATGTATCATCTAATATGATTGGATTGTATGCTTTGAAATACAGCCAATCAGTGCTCTTGATAGGAAGGATGTTAACAATTTGGCTGCAAGTAAAATCAAGGTATATGATTGGCTGTATTCTGTGGTGTACAATCCAATCAAATCGCTGCATTTACAAACTTCTGCAATACAAAAATGGTGACTATTGCAGACACGGTGTAAGGCAAAGACTTTGTGAAGATGAAGTTTTTGATAGCATGTGAAGATGTTTTAAGACTAACATTACTAATTTGAAGCTGATATTCCACTTCTCACCACTTCTTATAAAAGTCATCATTAGAATCCATATACAATGAATGTGCCAAGACTATGGTCATGTAAAGCTCTCATCTCGATAGCTATGGGTCTCCCTTTACTAATTCTATCTTTATATTTGTAGTTTGAATCTCAAACATCATTTGGTTCTATTTATAAAACAAGAATTGAGGGGAATTCAATGTTCTGTGATTTCTGGAATCCACAACAGAAGTTTTACTGTAAGAGGCTGAAAGTCTTGTGTCCTGAACATACCAAGGAACCAAAGGTAAGAAATAGTCGACAGTTATCTGTGGGTTTTTGACTAATTAAGCGCTGATTTTGGATTTTGAAAACATCAGGTTATTTGATGTTATATGTCAGCCAAGTTTAAAGATATTCCCTTCAAATCAGAAGTTGATTGGTAAAAGTCTCATGGAAAGGCTGATTTAGATAAAACATTGAGTCTTTACGATGGAACAACAAATTTAGCGCCAGTGTGTTATAGACTATAAATGTTATGAAGACTTGACAATCCTACAGTCTTCACCTGACAATGTTACCTGTATGAGTAATAAAACGATATGATTATATTATTGGATATATGTTTATATCCATAATAATTTTTGCTCTAAAGCACTTGACAGTTTCACTACTGTCCTGCCAAATCTTCATTGCACACTGCACGAAGTCTCTCTTTGTTAATAGGTGTAGAAATAAGGGTGTAAAACTCCTTGTTATATTTCTTTTACAGATCGGCCAAGATGAAGTCTGTGGGTGTTCCCTAGTAACCAATGTTTTTGATGAAACTGGGGAACTATGTCGCGCTCCTAAAAGAAAATGCGTCAAACATTTTTGTTGGGAGAAATTACGACGAGCTGAGATTGATATGGAAAGATTAAGATGGGTTTGTATTCATTTTGACATTTTAAAGTCTACCTAAGTGTTTCCAAACGCAGGAGATCAGCTTTCTCCTCTATATTTGGCTCATTTTCATCATCACTAATTTCATGTTTGTTACTTCTGGTATTACTATATGTATAATCGGTGTTAAAGTCATATATCAGGGGATGGTTTTTCTAATATCTGTCTAAACGACGCACAAATGTTTTTACGTTCTTAGCTGAAACAACACTGTCAGGTAGGCTATTCCACACTTCAACTACTCTGTTGGTAAAGTAATATTTCCTGATGTCAAGTCTGCTTCTGTTTTTAACTAGTTTGAGCGAATTTCTTCTTGTTGACCATCAGTTACCCTTCGATCGTATACAAATTTATTTGTTTATATCTGGGAACATTTCAGGTCATAAATATGATTCGTTCATGCAGTATGTCATGCAGTATGTCTGACACATTTTCTCTTCTCTACATTGTATTTCATAGAAAGATAGTAACATAGCCAATATAAATAACAAGATATTAGTATTCAATTTCTTTGTTTTGATTATATTTCAGTGGATGGATCTGATTCAATTCCTTTGTTTTGATTATATTTCAGTGGATGGCTCTGATTCAATTCCTTTGTTTTGATTATATTTCAGTGGATGGATCTGATTCAATTCCTTTGTTTTGATTATATTTCAGTGGATGGCTCTGATTCAATTCCTTTGTTTTGATTATATTTCAGTGGATGGCTCTGATTCAATTCCTTTGTTTTGATTATATTTCAGTGGATGGATCTGATTCAATTCCTTTGTTTTGATTATATTTCAGTGGATAGATCTGATTCAATTCCTTTGTTTTGATTATATTTCAGTGGATGGCTCTGATTCAATTCCTTTGTTTTGATTATATTTCAGTGGATGGCTCTGGATGATTTATTTGAGAAAGAGAGAACTATCAGGATGTCCATGTCTAATAGAATGGGGGTGCTAGGATTGATGCTACATCAGTCTGTGGACCATGACCCTATGACCCCTATGACTACACCACAAATAAGAGATTCCAATTAGAATACCAACCTAACTACACAGCTAATACTTTTGATTTTCACTGCCAAATATAACTGTATTAAGCTCGTTCGGTTGTAAATCGAATTCATGTGAATTGGAATATCAGCTTAAAAAAAGTAATGATAGTTTTGTAATAAGTCTGTGGTGAATCCAAGTCCAGTTAGTTTGACACTGTCAAATCTTCCTACAGTGTTCTGACTAAAGATCATCAGTCAGACTTTGATGGACAAAGTATTTGTGAAAGAGAATTGAATAAATGATACAATATTTCTTGTGTATATGCAAACAGTTGTTTACTTGAATATTTGTTAATTGTTTTTGTATAAATTGTTGTAATATATATTTTTAGTCTTTTTTTTATTTTGTGAAGTACTTTGATACGTTTCCTAGGAACCTCTAGAGGAAATTATGTCTTACGGAATATAAAACATTTACTGTTGATATTATTAAAGCTAGCAGTGATTACCTTGGAATGACAAATAGACTTGAGAATATTCCCATTTAATTGAGTTGATACCATGTTGAAAAACTTATCAAACAACCCCAAATCAAAATATGGTCTTGTACTTGAATCAATATCCAAGGATATTTGTGCGCATTCTGGGTCCCTTTCAGAATAAATAACCATGAAAAGTTCACTTTTTATTTAGGTAGTGTAGGTGGTAATGGACAGAATAAGACAAGCTTGTTTAGTTCCAATTTCTATTTATTCTACCCAAAAATAGAGTGGACTTTTTGCTACATATCTCAGAAACCCCAGCTTGTTTAGTTTAAATTTCTATCATATATTTGTCCAAATAATGAAGTGAACAACTGGTGTTTATGTTGATGGGATTGGACTAATGTTAGATGTTGATGAGAACATAGTCTCATGAAAGCACTGGCCTAGGTCACAAAGTAAAGATTTATGATAAAACATGGTGCAAGTTAAAGGTTAAGATAATTAGATATGCTAACTAGGGATGTCTCTGTAATACTATCTGTGGTAGTATCAAAGGTTGGGATAATTATATATGTTAACTAAGGATGTCTCTGTAATACTATCTGTGGTAGTATCAAAGGTTAAGATAATTAGATATGTTAACTAAGGATGTCTCTGTAATACTATCTGTGGTAGTATCAAAGGTTAAGATAATTAGATATGTTAACTAAGGATGTCTCTGTAATACTATCTGTGGTAGTATCATAGGTTAAGATAATTAGATATGTTAACTAAGGATGTCTCTGTAATACTATCTGTGGTAGTATCAAAGGTTGGGATAATTAGATATGTTAACTAAGGATGTCTCTGTAATACTATCTGTGGTAGTATCAAAGGTTAAGATAATTAGATATGTTAACTAAGGATGTCTCTGTAATACTATCTGTGGTAGTATCAAAGGTTAAGATAATTAGATATGTTAACTAAGGATGTCTCTGTAATACTATCTGTGGTAGTATCTAAGGTTAAGATAATTAGATATGTTAACTAAGGATGTCTCTGTAATACTATCTGTGGTAGTATCAAAGGTTAAGATAATTAGATATGTTAACTAAGGATGTCTCTGTAATACTATCTGTGGTAGTATCAAAGGTTAAGATAATTAGATATGTTAACTAAGGATGTCTCTGTAATACTATCTGTGGTAGTATCTAAGGTTAAGATAATTAGATATGTTAACTAAGGATGTCTCTGTAATACTATCTGTGGTAGTATCTAAGGTTAAGATAATTAGATATGTTAAGATAAGGATGTCTCTGTAATACTATCTGTGGTAGTATACTAGTATAAGCATAAATATCTTTCCTCAACAATGGCTGAAAGTTAACACGTTAAATCACAACAAATAAACTAAAATAAGCTTTAATAAACACAGCGAAAAGCAATACATAATGTAAATAAGAAATTTATTGTTGTCAAACTTACCCTGGTTATTTGAATTTTCATGGGAATGGAAATATCAACTTTAAATTAGTACTCATTTAGAATATAAAGAGAACCCAAAGACAAAAGATACGAACTGTAAAATGAAACGCGAAATCCAAAATTACAGTTTGGTGAAACAGTAACAATTCGTATGAGGAAGTATATCAATCAATAAATGAGCACACACTATCACTCATTTTTTAGCCTCAAGAGTCATAGTGGGGGGTGGGGGAGGGAGGGCAGTGCCCAGATGCCCAAAAAATAAATCTAACCAAAGTTTCCAACATATTTTCACCAAACATAGATAGCTAACATAAACCAATAAAAATATATTAAAATAATTTTAAGATATAAATAAAGTCCTGTGGAATGTATATCCATATGATATGTAGAATAGACTTGTCAACTTTTTGTGTGTATCAGGGACACTGATAACAACAATTTGCACCATTCCAAGACATCTGTGGTTCCTACTATTCCATATAACTAAACATTTTACAACGTCACAAAGACCCTTATATATTACTAACAACATTTTAGATAGTGATGCCATAAAACATTTAGTTCTAGTGGAATTACAAAAACCTCACGTCTTACTGTAAGTTGGAATGGTGCAAATTGTTGCTGTCAGTGTCTCCACTACACTTATTTTTAAAAGTCCTACAAAATTGAAAAATCTTCAGAATTAAGTTCGTAAAGATGTATAAAAGAATTCTATTAGATAAGACATTCATCTAAGATGTCAACTTTACTGCATTTATTTTTTTTTCATATTATTGCAAAATAGATAAATATCGTCAACAGTTTAAAGGGACAGGTGTGCCATTTTGGGTGTTGATTTTGATCTTAAATATATGTAAATAGTCTTCAGAAATACTAGAAATGTACGAAAATCACACAATTTCTTTAAAAATATCTCAAAATAGGAATTTTACTTACTATTTCTATAAATGTCTTTTCTATATATCACAGAGTATCTTAAATTGACAAGTCGGATAAGTCCTGACACACATGGATCTGAAGGCTCAAATTTTCACAGGGAGCCGTGAACACTATTATTGATTAGCTTAGCTAATTAACTTAGACTAAAGTATGATTGGTCAAAAAATGGCCTACCTGTCCCTTTAAAATTATCACAGGGTATTATTGTAAAGGCAGAAATGAATTTTACATCCTATTTTTCTGTAAACAGAGATGGTTATGCAATGAACTGTGGAATGAGATAAATGCTGCCAAGAAAGTTGTTATAACTGGCAACAAATTTGTGAAAGATAGACATCAACTTGTAAAAATATGGCACAAAAGTCAAGGAATCTTTTGATTCTATATTGAGCACACAAAATAGGGTAGGTACATTTAAATACATGTATATCACACTAAGAATTTTAATATGCAAATTTTTTTTAATATTGAGGACGTCGATCGTTAAATAACAGTTTGTTCATAAAATATAAATACTCTAAATATTAAATGGACGAAAACTATGTAAGGCAAATTTAAAAGTGAAAAGGTACAGTCTAGTAACCTATTTTTCGTGCATCTCCGGAAAGGATTAATAATTTACATATGCGACCTTGCGTGACACCCGCATTTGCTTGTTTTGATAAACATGGGTTTTCTCTACAATGTCAGCTAGTAGAATGAATTCAGTAGTTTCAAGCAAGGTAGAATGTATTAATGTATACTTTGACAAATACAAAATGGCGGATTTCAGTGATTACCAAACGTCACAATTTTTTATCGACTGAATAAAAAATTTGCGTTTTTGAATTTTGACGAAAATTCTATGTTGAATCTTGATAGGCACGAATATAGATTACATCACTGTACATTCTATCTCATGATTGTTCATAAAAAACAACTGAGTTGGAATGTCCTAATCTTCTGCACCTGATTGGGGATTATTAAGACGGAAAACTGTGCATAGATATTATGATTATGTATTATGGCTGGATATTTATAAGGCAATTTAAAGGTATACTACCTCTTAGGATGACAAAATTGAAATTTTTCAATGGTTAAAATGAGTCTTTGTTCATTAGTGGACTAACATGGTGTCATAACTATACAACAGAATCTCTCTATAATCCAGTAATTCCATAAAACTTAGTTATTATTAACAAAACTAAGATTTCTTATATAAGGCAATTTAACAGATAACAAATATAACGTTTGGACCTATATAATATGAAGCAGTGGTTTTAAAGATATTGTAAAGAGGTTCTCTAAACTTTTTATGTGTATCGAGGACACTGATAGCATCAATTTACACCATTCCAATTTTCAGGCATCTGTGGTTCCTGCAATTCCACTAAAACTAAGAGCTTAATGACGTCACTAATTGCGATGAGCCTTATGTGATAAAGCCTGTTTTGTGACTAGTGATGTCATCAAACATTTAGTTTTAGTGGAAATGCAGGAACCACAGACTTCTGATTAAAAATACATATACCAAATTTAGAAAACCTCTTTCTAAACCTTTTAAAGGCTCTTTTAAACAAAATAATCCAATATCACAAGAGTTCTAAAAAACATAAAAATATTCCACTCTATTATTATTAATCTCTACACATTAGTAAATAACAATATAATAATTCTCAATGTTAAAATAGTGCTCAATACATCAATAATATATATTATTATTTAAAATCTATCTATGGTCATATTCAAAGGACAAAAACTTAACAAAATCCCAAAATAGTGACAGGGACATTCTGCTTTTTTGTAAAATATTTTCATTATCAAAAGCATTGTAAATTATACCTGAAAATATTTCTTAAGTATTCTATTTATATCTATATATCTACTTGATCAAACTGAATTTATTAGTTAAAACTTTTAAAATACGAAAGAGATATATTTCTCTACCATTAGGCGTTTATTTTACTTAAATTGGTACAGCAGTTTTCTTACAGCTTCCAAAAAACATAAACTTTACAAGTATTTTTAGCATTAAAAAATCAACGTGTCAAGATATTTTTAGTTGAAAGTTTCAGATACGTTAAGGGATATTTTTCTAGATTTTGGTGTATAGTTTTAACGAATTTGAGCAAAGAGAATTTTCGACTTACTATTAAAGCAGAATGCCCCTTTAAATTATCAAAAATATAACAAGAAATATTAATAAAGGTAAGAAAAGTTTTTCTAGTCTTTATATTAGTATCAGAGATTCTGTTAGCTCTATTATCATTATTCAAAATGTAATGACCTGGATTTTTTCAGAAAGGAAACAAATCATTTTGAATGGAAATGAAATGAATGGAGTTTTACGAGATACTTTTCTGTCCCTAACGAAGACTGGCAACGCCATGCAGGGTGCAATGAGAGAAAATATTCCAGGACAGTGGCATTAGCCTGCTCTTTTTCGATTTAAACTGTCGAGGGATCTTTAACGTGTAGTTTGTAGCACACAGTGTCTCGGTTTACTAGACGTTTTGTCAATGTCAGCCCCACCAACATGCATCACTGACAGGGCAAAATGGGGCTGAAAAATCCAAAAGGTATTATCTATACCTTATCTAGTACCTATACTGTGAATGAACCCTGTATCTTCAGGTTAGCGAGGAAGCGTCTAACTCACTGAGCCACTGTGGCTCACCATTTTATATGGTGCACATAGAAACAAGTATTGTGAATTACTGATGCACATACAAAGGCTAGAAAAATCTTTGTGAGATTCTAATAACATGGAATGATATGTCAGAAATCAATGTATAGGATTGTTTTAAGAAATTTCAAAAGATTTTCTAAGAGAATTTTCTGTTTTTCTCAAAAATCTTGAAATGATCTTACTAAAATAATGTATGAAATTGGCCCCTTAGAACCTCTCTACACTCCCTTTAACATTGCCATATCATGATTGTAAACTACTGCCTTAGAAATACCATTTTAGAGAATGGAATGTTAAATATAAAATCAACAACTATCTACAGCAAAAATTCAAACCATAATGAATAGTACCCTATTGACCAATGTATATATGGGCACAAATTTCAGATTATGCAAAAAAATTATGTGGTTTAACCTACCATACTATAGTCATAGTTTTAACTGATATCACCAAGATCTAGGTTTAACTGATATCACCTAGCTCTAGGTTTAACTGATATCACCTAGCTCTAGGTTTTACCCAATTTAAAAAATTCATGACCAAAACTTAAGTATCACCAATTTCACCCAACTCTAAGATTACCCTAAATCACATCTGACACCCTGAATTAAACAACTACCATTTCCTCATCAGAGATTTGAACTCCGTTCTTCTGACCATTCTTCTGACCACTATCACCGGGAATGATTGATTCGAAATCACTTGTCTTCACAGTTTGTTTATTATCTTTATACAACCTGAAATTAAATTTAAAACAGGTTATAAATAACAGCAAATAACCATCTTGTTAATGAAAAAAAAAACAAAGTAATTATGAATCCAAACCCAACAAAACCCGAAATCCAAACAATATTTTTGTAATACATTGGTAGCAGCTATAAGTGGGAAAGTATTTCATAATGAAAAGTGGTATCAGGTGTCTAGTACAGAAAGCATACCCTGCCTGGTGCTTCACCCCTCATTGGTGTCCCCTGATAAAAGAGTTACTGTGATAGAGTTAGCCATCTGATAACAGAGTTAATGTGGTGGAGTTAGTCATTCGATAACAGAGTTAATGTGGTGGAGTTAGTCATCTGATAACAGAGTTACTATTATAGAGTTAGTCATCTGCTAACAGAGTTATAGAGTTAGTCATCTGATAACAGAGTTACTGGGATAGAGTTAGTCATCAGATAACAGAGTAAATGTGATAGAGTTAGTCATCGGATAACAGAGTTACTGTGATAGATTTAGTCATCTGATAACAGAGTTACTGTGATAGAGTTTGTCATCGGATAACAGAGTTACTGCGATAGAATTAGTCATCTGATAACAGAGTTACTGTGATAAAGTTAGTCATCTGATAACAGAGTTACTGGGATAGAGTTAGTCATCAGATAACAGAGTAAATGTGATAGAGTTAGTCATCGGATAACAGAGTTACTGTGATAGAGTTAGTCATCTGATAACAGAGTTATAGAGTTAGTCATCTGCTAACAGAGTTACACAGTTAGTCATCTGTTAACAGAGTTATAGAGTTAGTCATCTGATAACATAGTAACTGTGATAAAGTTAGTAATCTTCTAACAGCAGTAGAGTAAACTGTGATTTTTTATTTCCAAATTTTATGGACATATATTCTACAAGGCCCAATTTATTAGAAAGAGCTGAGAGATAAAACTTCATGTATACAATGGTCAGTTCTTGTATTAGGAATTACGACAATGAAAGAAGAAAGCTTTTCTGACACCCCCTTCAGCCTATACCCATAAACAGAGTTAATGATAAAATTAGTAGCTAAGCAACAATCTGATCAAAACACTGATATATTTTAGTTAACTTATTATTATAGCTGTGTTCAGTGTGTTCCAACATTAAAAATTATTTCAATTACTAATCATTCTAACCAAAACAGAAAAACAATACATTGTAAAAAATCTTCCCTTTGATATATGCACAGATATATTTCTTAGACAATATTTGCATAGTTATATCAGGTGTCCCAAAAAAAAGGTCCAAAAGTTCGACGGGTAGTATCTAAGCTGTTGGTAAACTGATCTTTTTCAAAAATTGCAAGACTGTAATTCAGAGATGTTATTAACCAGTAACTTTTGGGAAGCATTCTGCGCTTCTTATCCCGAATTCCATTTCTTAAAAGTCTTACATCTCTGGTTTTGCATTCTTTTTACATGCTATTTTGTTTGGGGCAGTACTTGTACAATTTTTATTGGATGACTTTCATAATATCAGGGTTGGACAATGACATCTTGAAGTATATCTGTGAGAATTTTGGAAAAGATCAGTTTACCACCAACTGAGATATTACCTGTTGAACTTTGGGACGGTTTTTCTGGGACACCCGATATATTACACATGGTAAAGCTCTATTAAGTTCCTTTAAAAATAACTAAGACATGCATTTAGAATGTGCTTAGAGATATATACAGATTTTTAACCAAAAAACCAGTTTAAAAATGAAATAATTATTAAAGTATTGTAATCAGATTAAGAAAGTAGTGATTGATAACATATTAAATTTCAAATTACCGAAATAGTCTTTGTTTTATATTTATAATTCCTTCTGAAAAATCATATTCTATCATCAGAACCGACAAGCCAAACTAATACCAAGCTTCACGATGTTAAGCTATTTAATAAGAACTTCAACTTGTACCTTTCTTGGAATGTAGCGCTTTGATTGGATTGTACGCTGGCAAATACAGGCAATCAGAGCAATCAACAGTAATCATTATGCCTTATTGTTTACAGACTTTCTGTCACAAATTCTGATTGGCCGAATTCACTATCATACAATCCAACCAAATCGTTGCATTGACAAACTCCACAATACAAAAAAGGTGGCTATTGCAATCAAGGTATAAGATGAAGTTCGTAATACCATGACATTGTGAAAATGACCAAGATCAAAAGAAGAGATTTGTGTGTTTCTATAAAGGCTTTTTTAGCAAAGTATTTTAGGATAGGCAATAGGAGCGATGCAAGATGTTGGGGAATCATTCAATACAATAGATTAGATTTAAACATAAACATAAACAAACATTATCTACATAAAAAGGATCAAAACTAAATCATAAATTTATCCCTCTTTCATATCCTTAATCCCACTTTCATATCCTTAATCCCCCTTTCATATCCTTAATCCCCCTTTCATATCCTTATAACAACCCCATGCAACCCACTACATCATGCCTCAAGACAGTTAAGGGCCGCTAGATTGGTGTCTTCTACTCGTTTCCGATTCATGGACTGAAGTAGATGTTCAATAAAACAATTTGGAACAGAGTTCAGAACAAGTTCTGTGTGTCCCGAAAAATAGCAGGTGCAGACAGAATTCAAAATGGCAGAGAAAAAATTAGAAATAAAAATTTTGAATGTGACATATCTGATTTCATAGATGCCAAACTTAAAACAGACTTAACCAATCGAGCGCCACCTTGAAACAGCCAACTATACCTCAGAAAATGGGAGATAACTCTAGTTTGGAAGAAAATAATTCAGACCACAATATAATAGTATAATAATTAAAATAAAGTGTACTAACCTGTATAGCCAATGTTGAGAGAGGGCTGCTGCTAATAAAAATGTTGTACAACAACCAAATACAACATTTATAGTTAGATCCTACAAAATTAAATACAGAGGTATCAGTTAAATAGCAAACAGTGCTGGCAGGGTATTTCGGAGGATGCTATCATAAGAATATTGTATTGTTTGCTGTCAGTGACAGATACAGTGGGGGTACAGAAGGGGATATTTGCCCCCATAGAAAAATTTAAAATCTATGAGAGGCTTGTAACTATGACACCTATACAGAATTGCCACATTTTGAATTCAGTCTCGACAGTTGCCTTCCACCATCTCCCATTCAATAACTCTGCCCCTTAATTGTACCTCAAATTTCAACATTCCTCCCCACTATTCAGTCACTCTGCCCCCTAATTGTACCTCCAGTCTCAACATTTCCCCCCCTCCCTATTCAGTCACTCTGCCCCCTAATTGTAACCCCCAGTCTCTACATTCCACCCCCCACCCTCCTCCATTCAGTCGCTGTGCCCCCTATTTGTACCCACAGTCTCGAGATCTGGCGATGTCACTGTCTTCTGGTGTATTAATGTTTTTTTAGTGTTTTAGACAAACTTGTATTGACATATGACTAAATATCATTCAAATTCAGAAGAAATCGAAAGTAGAGGTTTCTCTCCTATACCAAAGTAAAAGATATTATACTACGAGATGTGCTCTATGAAATGAAATGAAATGAATTGAGTTTTTATGTCCTACTGTATGATATTCTCTAGTCAATTAGATTAAAACATAATAGTAAAAAAAAACCACTGACCTGAAGTAGAATAACAACCACTATTAAATTTAATGGAACTCGGAAACAATTCATTATAGTTGCTCGAGCTGTAATAAAAAAAAGTTTTTAATATCTTATTGTTCATGAAATATATGTGACAATACATTCTGAAAAGAGATACAGATGGTTGAAATGAACCTCTACCAGTTTATAAAGTAGATATTGAGGTTGTGGTGTGGAATTTAATCAGACAATCGAGACTGATAGTTGTAATAAAGCTCTACTAATTTACATAGCAACACCCTCGAGACTTGGGTTTTTAATAGGAAGCAGACTGACTCAATAGGGACGACAACTGTCGAGGATGAATTCAAATTGCGGCAACTCTGTGGAGGCGTCTTGTTGCTAGCCCCTCCTAGGGGGTTTGAAAGTGTTCTACCAAGAACATTTTCAAAACATTTGATTGTTTTGTTGCATTTTGACACATATTTTGGGGCAAAAACGTTTACAACTAAAGTTTTTAAATTTGTTAAAAAGAAAGTGGGGGTAATATTGGGGGTGCAATTACTGCCAGCTGCCCCCTCCTTTTCCCCCTTAAAGAGACTATATCCTGATAATATATACTTACTTTCTTCAGGTACATATTTACCACGTAGTGTACCAATAGAGGGCCAGAATATACCAACACATGTTTCAAATACAATAAACCCAATAAATATCACAGTTTGATTCTAGAAGATAAATAAACAATAAGTAAGACATATTGACAAGTTCCTCTCAATCACCAACTTATTATCCTGTCATAGGTTTCTGATATTGATTGGTGAATCTAAGAAACCAGAGTTTCAAAACAAAGGCAACAGGCAGAATCGTATCATTGTATCAAAATTAGGGAAGATTCATGCTTATTTAACCTCGGCTTTATAAAAACAGTTGAATCTAAGCCACACTAAGCTCTCCCAGCTCTGCAGTGCCAACTAAACTTTCATTTAGTTGGCTGCTAATTCTACAGAACACGTTGTCATGCAGCAAATATTTCTACAACCAATATTGGCTGGGTTCACACAAAGTGGACAAAAGGCAAAGAAATCTGATAGTTTTGAGTATTAATTGCAGGGATGTTATATTAAACTACTTACCCCATGAAATAATATTGGTGTTAACAATGCTAATGATGATATGAATAATACAACTCTGAAAATAATAATATTTTGAGATGAGTTTTTCCTTGCTACATTAGCCAGATCTATATAGACCTTCAGGGATGTCAAGTTAGACAACTCTTAATGTAAAATAAACATTATTAGCTATGTGGACTCTCTAAAAGAGATGCCTCGTTGACATACCCAAATACATTTAAAAAATATTAGCTATGTGGACTCTCTGATAGGGATACTGCATTGACAAACCTAAATACCAAATAAACACTAGTTATGTGGACACTCTAAAAGAGATGTCTTGTTGACAAAACCAAAAGACAAATAAACAATATTAGCTATGTGGACACTCTAAAAGGGATGCTGAGATGACAAACCTAAATACCACATAAACATTATTAGATTCTGTGGACTTTCCAAATAAAAAGGTATGTTAAACACAAATAACAAATTTTCTAAGCGGACTCTCTGAAAGGGATGCCAAGTTGACAAACGCAAAAAACAAATAGACAATATTAGCTATGTGGACTCTCTGAAATGGATTGTGAATTGATAAACCCAGTCCAGTAACAATATAAAACAACAGACCTACCTCATGAACGACTCGACTGAGGTAAATTTTGACAATAATTTAAACATTGATGATCCTATCATAATGGCTACCTAAAAATAGAAGTTATATTTGTCAAATAATTCATTTCCTTGCTATTTATACCTGGCATAATGACTTGATATTTCTCCATGTAAAACTCTGCACTTTCGACAAATTCTTAGCATAGGATTTCATCAGAAATAAGGCCATGTTTCATTTGATTGATAGACTCGATATATAGATCAGTTACACAAAGGGGCAGAATTTTGAATTCAAAACGAACCTACCATAAAAGCAGCAAAGATATGTCCATGAGGAATGGCACCACGATGACCATCTTCTGTCATCTTATCTTCTAATAGATTTCTTTGATTGGGACTGGGTAAAACTGGGGTGAGAGCTGGGGTCCATTCTAATACAAATATATACATAGACCCTTCAAACATAGCTTGAATCAAACCTAAACACAGAACTTTCTGATCTGAAATAATCAAATATTATACTGACAGTATATTACGAATATGATCAAAAATTATTCATAATTCTCATTTTGAATATCGTGGATTTAGTTTAATATCACATTTAATGGGCCTCTAAAACTATGTTTAATTATGGACAGTGTCCTAATACTATCAATTTTTATAAATTTCTGTAATTGTAATTTGAATCTTCTAATATAGTTGAAGCGGTACATCAGTTAACCGATTTCGGGTGGGATTTCACAGGTAATGGGGTCTAATTTGAGATTGTCGGTTAACCATCAATTTTATTAGAAGTTATAAGAAAGGATTTTTGACGGCAAATTCGTCACTTAATGAGACTATAAACTGTTCCTTTCTTCACTGATTGAACACCAGGTATAAAACTGACTCATCAATAAATTCAATACGGGTAAGAAAAGGTTATTGCTGAAAATTATCCAGTTGGTAAAAACATTATTTATTACTATAGATTAATGGAGATAACATACCTGTTTTTATAGTAGATATTGCCTTATGAAATGATTCTCTAATATTAGAAGATTTATCACCATAGTTATCTGGCCATGTCATGAGAGTTATAATAACCATTATAGTCAATACACCCATTGATAGGTCAAACGGTGCTCTGAAAATAAACAAACAAGTACTATTAATCAGTACTACAAAACAAAACTAGAATTCCTAATAATCATATTGGCAATACATTGGTAACAGCTAATGATCTTTTTATCTGAGAAAGTATATCAATCCTAAATGAAGAAGTATTAAGTGGTATCAGGTGTCTAGAATAAGCATACCCTGCCTGAAGCCATTCAAATTAATCGAATAACATCTTACCCTAGCCTGTTTGGCAATACCTAGCATTAATCGTATGTATCAGGTGTCTAGAGTAAGCATACCCTGCCTGAATCCATTTGAATTAATCAAATAGCATCTTATCGTGGCCGGTTTAGCAATATGAAATATAATTAAAGTAAATTCTCACACGAAACCAAAAATATCAGCGAAATATTGAGCTACCAGACCAGCAAATATAGCAACCAGAGAATTTCCTAGTACAGCATTACTGAATATATTACTTAATAACTCACTCTCAAAGCCACGCTGTAAAACAAAACATAAATACAATTTAGGTAAAAATATAACTAAATACATTACTTAGTAATTAGTTCTCAAAACCACACTGTTATTTATAGAATTAGATAAATATCGTGGGTGACGACTTGAAACCTTCTATATACCATATTTGGTACCGTTTAAAAGTTCTTAAAACACGGAATTGATGATCAAAACCTCTTATTCTTAGTTTGATTGTAAATAACCCAAAAACCACCAATGAAATAACACATAGATAACCTGTCAGATTTAAAACCTTGTATACGGTACTGTATTAATATACGAGTTATTCGTTCAATAGGCCGCAGTTCTCAAATTGTTATACAAGGTTTAAATTTTCAAAGAATGATAACCACTTATAGCGGTAAAAAAAATATCCAAAAAGATTTTAACAAAATACGCGTACGAATAGTTTTGTGTTTTTTCTAGCAGAGTAATTTCGCGTGATATATCGTTATACGAGGTTTCAAGCCATCACCCACAATATGCTACTTAATATTCAAAAATCACTTTCAAATCCACGCAAGAAACTAATCACTAATCCTGTGATATACTTACCTTATTGTGTTCACACACTAACCATGATTCAAAGGCACTGTATAATATAGAGGTAGCTATTCCTCCTAGCAGACGTCCCAACATCAGAATCCAGAAATTGTTGAAATGCTGAAGGTAGAAAATATTTTACTCATACTATCAATCTACTGGGTCGAGATAATCGTCTTAGACAATCGACTGAAATCTCAAACTATTTCTACCTTGTTTTACTTTAGTTTAACATTACATTTATGAATTTTCCTGATTTCACATGAATTTGATAATGGTGCAGGTACACATTCAGTCTTGGTCGCTAATTTTTGTCGCGGATTGGAATCTTGAGTAAAATTTACTGTACCCATGCTTCAAGGAAAAGATTATCGCATTACCGAGATTGCCATAGCCGATTGTTTTATCATCCAATCGGATTCACTTTCCTTTCAATATCACATTTGATTATCGTAATTATAGACAGTGTAATTGACTGGATCAATTTTTGTCTCTTCGTGTGCCCACAGCCAGTCGGCGAAACACATGACAAGTCTAGTCGGCGCCAAAATTCACCTACCAAGACGGTTTCGTGTGCAGACAGATAACTAGCTAATTAACACATTTCTAAGTTTGGTTTGTCTCATAAAACTCAGGTGATCCCTTTAAGTTTGTAAAAAGATATTTTGAGTGGTTAAAATTCACTGCCTCAGATACTTGGATTAAGTGAACCAAAGCCCATCTATTCATACAAAAGGCTGTATGATTTAAACCATGATGAGCTCAGCTGACAAAAATGAAATGAATGGAGTTTTATTTCCTACGTTTCTGCACCATGTGGGCTAATGAACATGGACATTAGTCTGCTCTTTTTTGATTTCCAACTGTCAAGGGATCTTTAACCTGCACAGTCTATAGCACATGGGACCTCGGTTTATGTCCCATCCAAATGACTGGACGCTTTTTCCATGTAGCCCAGAAAGAAAAGGACCTCCATTGGCTTGCTCAAAACAGGATGTCCTGGACCTCTATTCTCATACAATCTTAAGTTTTAAAAGTCAGATATAAGAGACTCCATTTTAATAATAATATGCACTCATTGTTCTATGATAGCTTATGCTAGATAAACTTTCGGAAAAGAAACCCTAATTCCAAAATAATGGACAAGAACTTTGCTATTAATTGATTGAAATTTGAAAATGTTGGGAAACCACATGTTTACATCTTAATAGAACAATCAGACATAATCAAATAAAACACGGTTAACAGACTCAATTGTATCAAATAATACACAGATAATAAGCCTATAAAATGTAACAGCTGTAATAAAATATCTATACAATTATTGATTCTTCAATTTCTTTACTATATCAACAATCCGGTATAATATACCCGTAGGTAAAACATGCTTCATCTTCTTTCGGACCATGACTTTATATGTCAATTAACAGTTTGTTCATTTCTATCATTCTTTTTCACCATATAAAGTTAAGAGTTGGTGAGACGAATGATATTTTTTGTGTATTTATATAAAAATCAATATGTTGTAGAACACTAGTATAAATAATTAAGTTACAATTCCCATGAAACTGGCAAATTCCCCTTTCACAGACAAAATGGTTGTAACTCTTGACTCCCAATGAGAAAAGAGCCACTGTTAATAGCATTTTAGAGTTCGGAAAAAAAAGAACATAACACATTTTATGATCATTATTTGCAGTGATGGTCATCCATAAATTGTGTTTAGTCATGTTTTCATCTTCACAAACTCAAGCTATTACAATCTTTGTCCAATACCTTGACTACAATAATAGTCTTGTATCACAGAATGTAGCGATTTGATTGGATAGTATGCCAGAGAACACAGCCAATCAGGAAGATGGCTTATTTTTTACAGCCGCTAATTGGCTGTATTTCCTATCATACACTCCAACCAAAAAGGTGACTATTGCAGTCAAGGTAAAAGACAAAGTTGTAAAAGCTTGATATTATGAAGATGTCATGTTCTTAGAAATATTTCTACCTACCTTTGTGATACAGGCCAATCCATACAATACACCATATAAAATACAGTTTGTTTTTCTCCCACTGAAATATAAACAGTAATCAAATTAATAAAACACGGATATACTACTCTAAATATTAATTGAAAGCTTAGTGTCAGCACCTGTAAAGTTGTCTAAATATTTACTTTACCAGATGATAGAGCTCAATTTCAGCTATCTGTATAGTTGTCTAAATATTTACTTTACCAGATGATAGAGCTCAATTTCAGCTATCTGTATCGTTGTCTAAATATTTACTTTACCAGCCAATAGAGCTCAATTTCAGCTATCTGTATAGTCATCTAAATATTTACTTTACCAGCTGATAGAGCTCAATTTCAGCTATCTGTATAGTCATCTAAATATTTACTTTACCAGCTGATAGAGCTCAATTTCAGCTATCTGTATAGTCATCTAAATATTTACTTTACCAGATGATAGAGCTCAATTTCAGCTATCTGTATAGTCATCTAAATATTTACTTTACCAGCTGATAGAGCTCAATTTCAGCGATCAGTATCTAGTCGTCTTAATATTTACTTTACCGGCTGATAGAGCTCAATTTCAGCTATCTGTATAGTTGTCTAAATATTTACTTTACCAGCTGATAGAGCTCAATTTCAGCTATCTGTATAGTCATCTAAATATTTACTTTACCAGCTGATAGAACTCTATTTCAGCTATCTGTATAGTCATCTAAATATTTACTTTACCAGCTGATAGAGCTCAATTTCAGCTATCTGTATAGTCATCTAAATATTTACTTTACCAGCTGATAGAGCTCAATTTCAGCTGTCGGTCGAGTTGTCTAAATATATACTTCAGGAAAAGAAGCTTACAAAAGCATAATTTTGGATAAAATATCCACTTGCAAATGATCAGAGATAATATATATTATATTACAGTAAATATCATGGTATTTAGTGATTCATGGTCTATCTTGCTGTTGATAAGAGGGTTTGAAAAAAGGTTTAAAGCCAGCCATGTAGAGGTGGGTAAGTCTCCCAAAATATTATTACCGAGTACTTACTATTTATCAGCAAAAGAACCAACAATGGTACCAAACATCATACTGGAACCAAATCCTGCTACAAACAATCGATCAATCTGATGGGGAGTCATTCCATAGTTTTCATACAAGGCATAGACATGTGGTCCCTGTAACCAGTCCCCAGCTGAAAAATAGGTAAAAATTGTCAAGAGGACTTCTTAACTTTATCTTAGCTTCACAATGTCAAGACAAATCTGTCAACACCAGTTTGTTTGTTTCGCCTGTCTTTCATCCATGGTGAAGAAAAGAACTATGACCACATCCTACTCCTTCGCCAAGATTCAAAATGAACTTGTGATGGTACAGTGAAAGTGAAACTTCACTTTACTGAGCTTTGAAGCTTGCTATGCTTAAGCGAAGAAAATCCTGTGCTTTGCTTAGCGAAGTATAAACTGGTCTTAATGCAGTCAACTCAAATTGAAGTCTAAAGATGTGATTTTAGCCCCTCTGTCTACACTGTACAAATTTATGGTTGAATTGTCAACTTAATGTGGGTTGAAATAGATCAAATTTGCACTTCACGCATAGAATAACATATTCACACTAAAGTCCATCAGTGTCAAAGCCTAGTTATGTGTATTTATAGCACACTTTAGATTGATCCATGAGTAGTGAAAATAATGAAATTTGTTCTCTGCCATTTTCATTAGGCCGTCAGTGAATTGATTGGCTGTCTCAGTCCATAACATGGACTAAATGAAAATTATTAAATTATTCTCTGCCAATTTTCTGAAGGCCATAAGCAAGGTTAGGTTGTCACGCTTGAGGTCATTAACATTCATTAAAGCATTGCGTTTGACTGTGTATTTATAGTCTTTTTTTTAAACTATCCAAAGCACTGAGTAAAAAGACAAGTACCTAGATCTACATCAATTGGGTGATTAGGGTGCACTTGCTTGGGGTGCTCACATTCTTTGGTGTAATAGTGCCCACCTGAATCCTTATTCGGTCTAGTACACACCTTGTGTATAAAAACAATTGATGTTGCCATTGAAAATTAATTGATAAGTCAATAAATTGATTAACCTTTAACATTATAAGACCAAATAATTAAAACAAAATGAAATACCTACCCATTGCCAGTAAATACACCACCAAATACGATCTTTGAAAGTTGGAGAAGCTTGCATTGTTTACAGGTGACAAAGTCGATCTTGTGTACAAAAACAAAACAGCACAGACGACACATAAAATCCAGAATCCCAGTAGAAAGATATTCATTTTTAAAAGTTACGTGTTCACTTGAACATCTGTTGTGGGTTTATTCTAAGTCCATCGATTGTGAATTATTTAATACTTTCAGTTCAATTTATTATGCTCGAGTTGCCATTGGGTCAAAGGGACGTTACTCTTAAAACACCGGACTCAGACAACTAATATTTCTATGGAATAAACTGACTGAACATAGAGTTATGAATATAACTTAATTTATAATTCAATGGTAAAAATCACTGGTGCATAGCTAGATAAAACTTGTTTGGATTCGTTTTAAATAACCCACACCCTTAATTTTTTTAAATTAAAATCTATACAATAGTTATTGCAAGGCTTTTAAGAGTCTGTTCTTAATAATAGTAACCAACACGTTTAGGTTCATTGACTTCTATACGGTAGTCCGACTTTTCAGATCCTGGTATAAGGGCAGATGTTTTGATCTACGGTGGCTTATATAGACCTTTATTGCTCTACAAATTGATGTATTGAGTACTATTTTAACAGTGGTATTTCTATATCACTCTACAATTGATGTTTTGAGTACTATTTTAACAGTGGTATTTCTATATCACTCTACAATTGATGTATTGAGCACTATTTTAACAGTGGTATTTCTATATCACTCTACAATTGATGTATTGAGTACTATTTTAACAGTGGTATTTCTATATCACTCTACAATTGATGTATTGAGCACTATTTTAACAGTGGTATTTCTATATCGCTCTACAATTGATGTATTGAGCACTATTTTAACAGTGGTATTTCTATATCACTCTACAATTGATGTATTGAGCACTATTTTAACAGTGGTATTTCTATATCACTCTACAATTGATGTACTGAGCACTATTTTAACAGTGGTATTTCCATATCACTCTACAATTGATGTATTGAGCACTATTTTAACAGTGGTATTTCTATATCACTCTACAATTGATGTATTGAGCACTATTTTAACAGTGGTATTTCTATATTGCTCTACAATTGATGTATTGAGAAAATATTTTATTATTGTAGGTCTATATAATATATAACTGTCTCTTAAAAATGTTTTATAATATAAACTTTCTTTGCTGCATTCTGTCACATGTTTTGGACAAAATTTCTTGGAAACAAGTGAGGGGTGGGGGTACAGAGTATCATTTTAAAGGTGTAGGGGTAAATGTCTCACTAGCGCTACATCTGGTCCTAAACATAATCATGTCTCTCATTGTCCACTGCATTACGTTGTCCGCCTTTATTAGTCCAATCTGTTAACACATAGAATAAACGCGATTATAATACGTAAGTTACTAATCAGCGCTTCAAATCAATATCGATTATCTACACCAGCCGTAGGGTGATTAGACGAGATTTATAATCTTTTAGATAAAAACCAGGGCAAAAAAACTGTCATAAATAAAGATCAAATATTATAGATTCATTCATTCATTCATTCATTCATTCGTTCGTTCGTTCGTTCGTTCAAATATCACAACTATTAATTCAACCACTTGATAAATAGAATTGAATGTAGCCATTATGTATTATGTATTGTATAATAAAAGAAGTAAGGAGACACCTCATAAGGAAGTCTGAAACATCTGCCTCTATTCTAGCCTCTGATGGATATTTTGACAGTAACTGAGTAAGTTGTCGGCTGGATTAGAGTAAGGAAATAGGCTCTGTTTAATGAGGATTTTCCACATCTTCATTATTCAGCCCTAGCTGTGAATTAGTGCTTGGTAGGTCTAACGCTAATCATGCCACCATACGATATGGTATGGGATAAATTTAACATTTTATCTGCAAAGTTTCAATATTTATTGATTTATATAATAATATTGTATAACTGTGATATTTGGTATTGTATTTCACAGTTATTTATATAAATTTAGAAGTTATCATTAATAAATTTAGACGTTATTATTATCATCATTATGTAGTTGATAGGGTTGGTTAAAGGGACAGATGCTCCATGTTTTTTACCAATCGTAGGCCCTACTTTAGCTTCGGAAAAGGGAATTTATTTTGTTTATGGTTATTGAATGAGTTATCTTTCCTCATTTGGCCTACGCAATTCGCAGTTGTAAAGTGGGTACTGAGTAAGTCGCGTCAATCATCATTCAATACGACCCAGCTGTAAATGGGTTCTGAGTAGGCTAAGTAGGCTTAACATTTCCTCATTATTTTAGTCGACCCAGCTATTAAGTCGCTACTGCAGAAATCATCGTTCAAATAGCCTTGTAAATGGTTACTGAACAAGTTATCTTTTCTCATAATTCCAATCGATCCACCAGTAAATAGCTACTGAATAAGTTATTGTTCCTTATTAGGCCTATACACAATTCGACCAAAAGTAATTTGACGCTTAATCCCGGAAGCGTTGTAACATATTGTTATTGTCAAGAGGTTTGCTCAAGAACCAACTGGAAGACAGAATCCCCGATAGTTTAGTAGGGTGCACCACTTTCACGATCCATACCTATTTATATACGGTCATATTAAAGTCCATTATTAGAGTAAACAATAGCGCCTAGTATTTAAATCAAACTATATGGATATAGGGAAAAGGGATTATTAGATTACGTGTGTATAGTTAGTGTTTATAAGCCTGGCTGAAAACAATATGGCCGACCCTTAGCAACCAGTTTGATTAAGCAATAGGCTAGTTCTATACATATTGATTTTTGTTACCGATCATTGAATATCCATATAACAAGTAAGTCACCTTTTTTGGTCTATTTCAATTTTTACCGTTTTAATGAATGGATTCTAAAAGTCACGGCTTATTGAGAGTACCTGTCTTAAATATGGCACCATACTGAAGCCTAGTCAAAGACTATTTTAGAAGTCTAGATCTTGTGGGTGGTAGTTAAAAGACCAAAAGATAGACGGGTCTTTATCTTACAGAAAATAAATTCCCTCTGTTTGGTTATGAAAATACCCCCCCCCCCCCTTTCTTTCCGCTGTAGGCCTAGCCCATTTGTCCATTTGTCTGACGAATCAGAAGAGTAAAAATGATGTGGAGAGATGATTCGATTTCAACAACCTTAGGTTCATAATTGACGCAATCATGACTTTTTGTCTGAAGTCGTTTACCGTGATTTGGGAGACTCCCGAGTAATCTGTTCTGGTTTGTGGGTGAGCTCACTATCGCGAGCTTAATGTCAATCCCCCAACCGCCATCGCTTCTGCTTGTACATTACATTTGAAGACCATTAACTATCCGAAAATTTCGATAATAACCATCATATTTTGGACTTTTTTCAGTGTTTCAACAACAACCCGGTGCTCCAGGTCCAGCACCACCACAAAGTAAGTTTAAGTCTAAAGATTCTCCCCTGTCCAGTGAGCTCGCTTATTTTGCTCAAACGCATATATTCAACTTCTATTAGCTTTCATGATGAGGATTGTATATCCGAAATACGATACGTAATCGCAACATGGTGTGCTTTAATCGATTAGATAGAAGAAACATTCTGACACAATTTGGGGGAATGTTTTTTTTTTATAAAAATCATAATTTTTTGTCATTTCGTAGAAATGAAATGGGGCCTTTACTGACCCTGTAACGATTCACGTCTAACTTTTTTACGTTTTTCAGGATGGCAGCCAGGGATGGGTGGTCCTCCACCACCAGATTTCAGACAGGGACAAGGACCACCAATAATGGGTGGACCGGAAATGCCCCCACAACAACCCATGCCTCCACCCTCAATGCAGGGAATGCCCATGTTACAAGGTTACCAGAACGTTGGAGGATTTGGAATGAGTAAGTTATTTTTTCATCTTATTTCTTGAATATTTTTGTGCAATTTTAATGGCACCTTATTTAGCATCAATCAATATTTATAATCAATCAATATTTAGAATCAATCAATATTTGTAATCAATTATTGAATTTTTCTAACTCTGCTCGGTGAACAATATATAAATCTGTTTCTATAATATACGCCCACTGCAACTTACCTATGAAATATACTCCTGAATGGTATTCAGCAAACTAGGATTTTTACTCGCTATTTCAATATATGTCTTTACTATATATCACAGAGTATCTTAAGATGAGGAGTCATCATTTAAACATTCAAACGCAGATAATTCTGGACACACATGGATTTGAAGGCTCAAATTTCGACAGTGAGCTGTCAACACTATTACTGATTGGCTCAGCTAAAAAAAATCTATTTTCTTAGACTAAAGTATGATTTGTGAAAAAAAAAATATAACCTGAAAATAATTCTATAACATCTTTTTTTTTTCAGTGGCACCCATGGCCCCACCCCCGCCGCCTCCCCCTCCCCAAGGTGACCCACCACATGTACAGTTTGACGAGTAAGTCATAAAATAAATTTTAGTTTATTTCCTCTCCGTTCTGAAAACAGCATCATATATAATATTTTCCAGTTACTGCCCGTGGAAACTTTCAGCTGGTATGCCCATTTCAAAGATGCAAAAAATGGAAAATGAGCAGTGTAATGCCACTCTTTTCGCCAAATTGTCGTGATGACAGGAGACAACCTCCGTCACTGATATATTGTTATGATAATATATTAAATATTAATTTCAGTGTAGCTGAATTAAATGAACAGCAATGTCGAGAGGCGATGTTTCAGTTCGTCAGTGAAAATTGTTGTTACAGTAAGGGCCCGGCTCAGGAAATGGTTATAGACAAAATTATTCCACATAATGCCTTACATGTAAGTATATCATTGTATTAGATCAGATATACATATTAATAATCAGTTTACAAATACAGGAACTTCTGTTTACTCATTTCATTTTACATTTTTGTTTCAATTTTTCTCAATTTTATTATAAATCTGTTATTTTATATTATTTTATTTCGTTTATATTTTAATTTTTACTTTTTTTTATTTTATTTGATTTCATTTTTCTTTTATTTTATTTTTTGTTTCAATTTTTTCTCAGTTTATTATTTTAAATTTCATTTTTTATATTTCACTCCATTTGGTTTAATTTAATTTTGATTTAATAATGTTTCAGATTTGTTTTATATTGTCTTAATTTATTCAAAAATATCATTGTCATATAACTTATGATTCTATTTGATTTGAGTACTTATTTGAATAATTTAATGCATTTCAGTATACCCTAGAAACTTTTTGTGAAGGGCGATCTACTGGGTATGTTAATGAACCATTTAGGGGTGGAATGATTGACGGTCCGGAGAATGGTATGCCCCCACCCCCATTCGCTATACCTTGTAACCCTGACAGTATGTTTGATGATCATGTCAAGTTATTAGAGGTACCCCACACAGCCACTGTTCGGGTGAGTTCAAATTTACTTTCCTATTTCCAAAAATTTAATATATATTTAATTATACATGTAATTAATTAATTAATTAATTAATTAATTAATTAATTAATTAATTAATTAATTAATTAATTAATTAATTAATTAATTAATTCATTCATTCATTCATTCATTCATTTATTCATTCATTCATTAATTCATTAATTCATTAATTCATTCATTCATTCATTCATTTATTCATTCATTCATTAATTCATTAATTCATTCATTCATTCATTCATTCATTCATTCATCCAGTACCTCAAACATGAAATATAAATAGGCAGCGTTCTTCCAGGAAAACGTTATTGCGTTTGCTCTTCTAATATCCAACTCTGTAGGGATCTGTAACGTGCATAGATTGTGGCGAAAGGGCCTTTCACACTCACATATTTACTCAATTGCAAATATGAGTGTTGTCAATCCGTGTAAATGTTTTGCCCATGATCGTTTCAACCCAAATTCCTTTCCAATCAATAGAAATGAATATGAAATAGTTTCGGACGTTCTGAATTGAGAATGACCTTTGTCTTAACCTAAGAATTTTGTCATTTTGAAAAAAGATGGATCTATCTGTCTTGTTTCCTATACTGTCAATAACTTTTCATGTGTTTCACTTTCAGCCTTGTCACATGTGTGATGCCCGTGGGTGGGTTCGATGTCGTGTGTGTCATGGTTGGGGTCAGAACAGATGTAATACTTGTGGTGGGGATGGTCGGGTCACGAGACATGACCCAGAGAGAGGGTCCTATCAAGACATGTGTTTCCGGTGTCACGGAGATGGACGAGTCAGGTAAACCTTATCTTAAAAATTGTAAAATGAGGAAATATCTTAGTGATGCAGGTAAGAGAGGCTGACATGGAAAATTCGGATGGGACAATAAACCGGTGTCCTGTGTGCTACAGGCTGTGCACGTTAAAGATCCATGGACAGAAAAAGAGCAGGCCAATGCCACTGTCCTGGCAAAATTCCCCTCATTGCACACCCGTCTTGATTAGCCGAGATGGTGCAGAAACGCAAGACGTAAAAAACTCCATTCATCTCATCTCATCTCTGATTGGGTTGATAAGGTGAAATCCTAGATGAACAAATATAATCGATATTCTATAACGGATAACATTCATCTAGCTAGGAGATTACCTTTAAAATTATACCGACGCATTGACTCGCCTATTGGTCATTTATCTAAACGGCCGATCAGATCAGATAAGACTGTAGCTGTTACAAGTTAAGTTGAAACTAATTGCTGTCATTAGCATCCATGTTTTCATTATAACTTGTAATTCACTAGAATGTATCTTAGTTTTAACTTGCTGTCTATTTCTAGAGACTTTGATAGCAATTTTTTACAGTTGTCAGCTGTCTAATAACGTCTGGATTCTTACTGGTAGAAAGTTTGACAGTTGTAATTGACAGTTATCAGACAGCGTGTATGAGACCGATACAAACCATGAGTTATTGCCCCTGATTATTTGTATATTTCAGTTGTAATCGATGTGGTGGCGATGGAAGAGTCACGTGTAAAGAATGTGACGGTTATTGTAATTTAAAATGTTTTATTCAAATGAAAGTTACTTAGTAAGTCATATACTGTATATTTTCGAGACTAATGCGCACTTAATATAACGCGCACATTTATTGCTACTGGCATTTGAATTCAAAATTCTTAGGATATGAAAAGCTGGAATTTCTAAAAGATTAGAAAAAAACACTATGGCTATTATTCTTGTTGTTTTTTTCAGTTGTAATCACAAGGGTGATCATATCATAGAGAAAACTGATCTCCCGGATGAATTAATAAGAGATGTACAGGGCAGTGTGGTATTTGAACAGGTTATGTTACCGGTAAGTTCAAAATAAATTTCTCTCTGCGACAGAGCTTTATGCGTGTGTTCGTTAAACCATTGTAGCCATGATATCCATGTCTTTTTTCAGGTATGGCCCATATCAGCTTATCCTTTAGACGAGATTAACCAGTGCTCTAATAATTTATGTAATCAACATAGAACTGCTTTCCAGACGGAAAAATACCTCCAACAGGTGAGATATAAGAGTGGATTTTTGTTAACCATAAGATATAGCAATATTCTAGTTATATCTGTCAGTTATTGCAACCATCATGACATCTTATCACAATGACTAAAGATGGTTTTCCTTATTTTTTTAGTGTCAAATTAAGCAAACTATTTGATTATTTGGTGTTTCTAATGAATTATCATGCATTCTTAATCATATCGGCATGTTCTTATTGCATATAATTAAGAGTTTTAACCAATCATAAATGTCCATGTGTGTACTGGATAAACAAAAAAACACTTTTGACCTTTCTTGATCGGTCACTTATTGGAATTCTGCTGGTAATTCTCTTCTAATTTAGTTAATTTATGAATTAATTATGGACATGTGAGACAAACTGGTATTTTCCAAGTCATTAGAACACCTCTACTTTCTATTCATATAAGTATTTTAAAAATGAAAATAAGGGAACCCATATTTGAAAGTGGCTGTTAAATAACAAATTCAATGAAGTAAAAATACTCATTCTAATTACACTCTTAAACGTCTTCACGCAAAGAACAATTTACAAGATACAATTCTTGACGAAATTCTTTCAATTTCCATTTTGGTGTGTGTTTAGGCAGGCAGGGTATGCTGTCTCTTCTATCTTCTAGATACCTGATATCATTTTTCATAATGACATATTTCCTCCTTTATATTGATATATATATACAATTCCTCGTGTGTAAAGTTCATTTTGCTGCAACCAATGTATTGTCAAGATGTTATTTTGTGTTTCGGGTTTCGTTTTGTGGTTTATATCGTTAGTACTAGGGTTTATTATTTGTAATACTGCTGTTCCTGCTAACTGTCAATTTTGGAGACGATCAGGAATCACGAGTCACGTGTGATATTATGAATAAGTAATATTTTTATTTCAGAGACAACAACTAAGAGCAGTACCAGTAACAGAAGTTCACTATAGCTGGGATGATAATAATCTCAGGTTCTGGGTATATGGTAAAGAGAGGAAGGTCTACTGTCCGGATTACCCCAAACAATGTTGTTGTACTATCTTATAATATTATTAATATTTATACTCCCGTAACTTGAGGCATGAAGTCTTTCCTTAATAAGAGGTATCCAAGTGACAAAGCACAAAGCACAAAGCAGCCAAAATGAATTCTATAATAAATAAATGAATAAATGAATAATTAATAAATTAATAAATGAATCGATAATTTAATATTTAATTTAATTTAATTTAATTTAATTTAATTTAATTTAATTTAATTTAATTTAATTTAATTTAATTTAATTTAATTTAATTTAATTTAATTTAATTTAATTTAATTTAATTTTTAATATGAATTTTAAATTGAATTTGAATTTGAATTTGAATTTATTCTAATTAATTAATTAATCTAGGAAACAACTCTTTTCATTGCCTCAAATCTTGTAATAAGAATTGGCTAATAAGTCTAGAGTGTTAAATATCGTTCCGTAGGCGAGACATTCCAAAGAACCATGCAGCATTCATACGATACAATTTGTCTGACTAGTTACACATCACATCTGACATCTGCCATGATAAACACATAGTTTCATCTGTCCAGCATTAAACCAACCAGTATTTAATTCCACTCTACTAACTTGTTTTTGATATTGTTGATTTTTGTTAATAAAATTTAATCCGTGATTTTTTATCAGTTGGAAATCAATGGTGATGATTATTGTTGTCTGAAAATGTTTTTTAGTTTACTGATTACCTCCCTTGTAATAATTAGGGTAGCCACATTTTTATTCGGGTTCTTTTCACAATATTTGAGCAACCATGATCTATTGCAAAGAAAGAAAGAAAAGAATAAAAACAACTAGGACTATATTTTACAAGGGTAAAAGCTTAGGTTCACAACTAAGGATCTTTTCTACCAGCAGGTCCTTTGTCAAACCTATAGGGATTGATCTTTCTCTGATTATCAGTACTCATTTACAGCTGGGTCGACTGGAATTACGAGATATTCCTTGAGAAGATTATTGTAGTCTGAAATTGAAATAGAAACGAAATTGTTACCTCCCTTGTTACAGATCTAAATCTATACACAATCGCGATACTTTTGAAACGTTACTATTATATAATATGATGGCTTTTGAGGTACCAAGACATTTGGGCTTGGACCAGATTTACAGTTTGTTTGCATCACCACTGTTCAGACCCGTAGCCCGACTTGATGTAGGCCTATTTGAAGGAGCAAGGGGGTCTGGTGTTTAGTTGCAGTAATGATATTGGTTGGCCCTCACACTATTTTTTTGGAGGGGGGGGGGGGGGGAGGATGCATTTTTTTCGAGGTACCACTTCTCCCTCTTCTCCTCCTTGCCCCCTTCCCCCTGTGGCCACGGACCTGCTAATCTGGCCAAGCCACAGTAATTATAGTGTATTTGAAATGGCTACGTCATATTCTGACCATCGAAGTCTTCCTGAGGTCTACGGCCAACACAGGCGTCAAGAAGGTATATCGGAATTGTGAAATAGAAGCAATGGTTGTCAACAGATTAGCTGAACAATTTTCATCAGCTAATTCTATTCTTTATTTTCAAACTCTGTGAGACAGATGCGATTAAAGTAGGCCTACATCTGAAGATGAAAGAAGCACCCATTTGCAACCTTTTAATGTCATTTCTCTCCCCTTTCATTTCTACTTTCAATTTATCTTTATTTTGTCAGATTTCTCCAATGTTTATATTTTGATATGTGAGTGTGACAAGTGAAACAGAAGGTATAAAGTGTTTAATTGCCGAGTAAAGTCGGGATCAATTTACTCATCACTGAACCAACCCACTATCCGTGTTGCTCTTGGTACATTACTTAAAGTTACATTAATATTACGGTTAATGTTGGTTAAAGGTGTTATGCCACGAATATAAACATTTATCTCTTCTTGTAGCATTTGATACGTTACTTAATATCACATTAACATTCAGTGTTGATTGAAGAGTTTACACCACGAATATAAACATTTAATTTCCATTTAGAGAAACGTATTGATTGTGTTTATTGGATTTTAAAAGCTACCTGCTGATTTTAAACAAACATACTTCACTCAATCAGAAAATAGGTTTGATGGCATGGCAACAACAGTGCTTTCAGACTAAAAACACAATGCTCTTGTCTACTGCCAAAACAACCTACTAGCCAGCTGTATGCTGTATTCCAAATTGACAAAAAAAAATGCCTTTATACCAAACAATCTGCTAGCTGGCTGGACGCGATAGTTTTGGTATTCTTATTCTAACTGCACAGTCAACTGCCATCGTATCAAACAATCTGCCAGCAATTAGAAGATGGTTTTCAAAGCTTTGTCTAAACACAAACAATTTTTCTAGGTTGTGTGGATACGATGGTATTTGAATAAAGGTATAACACCTTTAACCATTACACATGCATCTAAATGTAAAAATATTGTTAAAAAAATTGACATGCGTCTCTCATATAGAAAGGAAGAAATCCATCTGTTCTTCAGAACACCCAACTATCTAAAAACAAAGACGAAAAAATGACACAATTTTCTTTAATTTATATTTAGCATTGATCATGGTCTTGGTCAATATTAATATTGATAATAGTATTTGATTGGAGGAATATTTTCAATGAATACTTGGACTTAAAAATTGTTTCCTGCTTTCTAGAGTTCATCACGTATGATAGACAAAACGTTAAACATTTGGTAATTGTTTAGAGATAACGAATGTGCCCTCAGAAACAGATTTAAATCTTAAAATATTAGCAATTGCTATACACAGAAGGACAATAATATATGGAAAGAAAGGGACAAAAACTCTGAATTCTGGCTCCATTTTTTTTATTCAAAACTCATGATGAAATTGTTCCAGGATGCAGAAATTCGTTAGTTGTAAAAGGCAGGACACTACGGCAAAAATGACTCGTTCAATCCAATGCCTTATTTATCATAAATTTCAAATTCAGTGTGGTCTAATTATTTAGTTGGAAATATACAAAATATTCTCATTTTGAAAGCTAATAAATTTGATGATTTGCCAAATATTTGAGTTAAATCGGTCCAAGCAAATTGAATAATTTCATAATAATATGGAAATCTAGTGTAAAGTATTCAAAACAATTCGAAAGTTTGTCAAAACATGACCAAGTTGAAGGGACACGCAGTTCATCTGTCAGTGATGTAACGTCATGAGGTCAGAGGTTATTTACCTTACAAGCCCCAATTTCTACTTTCTCATACTTTTAAACTATTTATAGAAACAATGGAGTTTTACGTCGAGCATTTCAGACATGCCACAATCTAATTTAAATAAGGTTATAATTTCGTTTCCTGTTTTTTTTTCTTGATGTTTGCATTGTAATCTAACAAGGTTTGTAGCGTAGTCCTGTTCTAATGACGTCCTTTAAAACCAATCAGAGCGTGGCATGTATAAGTCCCGTTTCTTGATAACGTTGACGAATTGTGGAATAGCGAAATCCAAAGTAGAACCATGACAACCACTTTTGGTTTCGCTAGCTCGCAAACCGTTCTTGTTAAAAGGAATCTATCATCAACAAAATTTTCGCACGAGTTTTAGTTCCGGTTGTATCAGTTAATGCTTGAATTCAATCAACAAGGAGCCAAAAAATTTAAGTGGCAGAGAGCATGATTGGCCTAAAAAATAAAAAAATAAAATGTTATGTTATAGACTCAGAATTACTATTCAGGTCCCATTCTAGGCATATGGATTAGTGGCAGCCATCTAAATATTGTTTCTACATCTTCACTAGTTTGTAACCTGGTATGTCGAAGATGCAGGACCCCCTGCTGATTTGCCTTACGTTTTTCATCTGCTTCAAGAATTAGACACAATCTATCAGCCCATTACACAACATTTTTAAATGACAAAAAATAATAAACAAGACAAAACAAAAAATAGCGGGGATAAATAATGTAAAAATAATGACATTTATATCCAAAATATTATTCCAACCTTCTAGAGAACGGAATGACAACAAACTCACTGGGATACTCGAGTATCGAATTAAACTGGCTCTGTTAACCTCAGTCTTATGGGGGTATACATTTGTCAATATTGGTTTTCAAGAAGGGGAGTCTGGAAACATTTGGATTCAGTTTTCTTTGTGTTTTTAATTGATTAAATTTGTTACTTGTTCATTCAATACATTAAGAAATCTGTACAAGTCTGAAAATAAATTGAAAATGTACAAACGTAATTTCCGTATGTGACGTCACTAGTTAGATAATATCCTATCATATGACGTCAACAACTTATTTATCAAGCCAATGAAAACCATCTAAATAGGTCTTAAATTGATGAGATGAAAACCTTTCTTTGAGGTGTGAATAATTAAGTACTGTATTGATACATAATAATAGAAAAAATCGAACGTGTCTTGACCCATAACTCCTGTATTCTCTAATTTCTACTATATTAGTAATACCGCACTGTACACTGTACCCACGAAAACCGTCGGTCTACCTGCTTTGTTCCAACATTTTTGCAACTGAAACGTGGAAATCATATTTCAGGATCCTATTCCTTAAGCATCGGTAGGTGTATATTGTTTGTTTGTAGAATATAAACATTATTATATACTACTGGTGTGTATGGAACATCATCGGTACGATGATAAATGATCGGCGTTAGATGTGAATAATCATCGTACCGTTGCTAAAGGAACACGAAGGAACATGAGGATATAAATGAATTGAGAAAGGTAGAATACTATTATTTTTACTAATTGAACTTCAAAAGAAAAATGCACACTGTTCTTAAATACATATTAAAAATGCGAAAGGTTGAACGTATCCATTACTTTAATATAAAATCAAACTTTTACATATCTTTCTCAAAATAAACATCATTTTTAACATCCAGGTAAAAAAATACATTCTTTATAGCAGCCGACAGAATTATACAGAGTAAGAACTGAGAGTGTGATTGAACTCTATATTAAAGAGTACAGTAATATTGTTTATATATTTAAAGAGAAAGGGATAAGCCTTGGAATATTGATATAGGTTAGATATATAAAATAAATACCAGTAGCGACACCATG